AGGGGGGGCCCTGCGCCTGGGGGTAGTCTGCTCGTCCCGGGGGTGGTTCCGGGAGACGCTCTTCCACCAGAAACTCCCTCTGGCCTTTCCATGCGGCTGCGTAACTACCTTGGCTTTCCGCGCTTGCCAACCTGAGTCGTAATCAACGCGAGTCGCAATCGAGCCGAGGGGCCGAAGGGAAGCCCTCTTCCATTTGACCCCCTCCTCGCAACAGGGAGAGTTCCAAGGGGATCTCGCGGAGTACTCCTGAGGGCTGATGCCTCCGCATTTCCCTCTGCGATTTTCAACTCATCTGAACATCGTTCGGCCCCCTGGTTCTGCTAGACTCTTCCACGGACAAGCCTCGGTCAACTTCGGCCCTCTTGGGGGTATCCAAGTCCGTCTTGGAGACCCTGGAGGCGGCCCAAGAGAGAAAACCCTCCGGATCTCGTACGTTCTTTGTCTCAAGAACCCAAAAAGGTGGTAGGTCAAAACGTCGGCACCAGCACCACGAAATGCACTTTCGTTCATGTTGAAACCTTTTTCTTCGAGCCACGGGATCTTGGTGGTAGTATTGACGTCCGATGCCGAGAACACACCAGAGAAGGCTACAAGGGCCTTCGGTATCCCCCCAAAGCAGCCCAATCCCTCCCCCAAGTGCCCTAAACATGCCTCCCCTCTGAAGCACGATCCAAAATTTTCGCCCTCGCGGTGAACCAGCATCCACCACTTGCCTTCGTCCCCCTTTTCACTGCTTGCGCATACGCTGTTCTCTCTTTCGGGTCGACGCAACGGGGAAGGCCGCTGCAATCACGAACGCACGATCCGATTCAGTCGACTCGTGTGGTAGACACTTCGCACGGTAGCGTCAGCTGTGTAGGGCACCGTCAGCAGCGGCACCGTTCTCACAACGGGATCACGAGAATGCACCTCAGTTGGCGACTCCTGCCCAGATCTACTTTGAATGAACCGGATCCTTGACCCCAGGGCCTTCCCTCAGGAACATTTTTTCTCCCCGAGTCGTTACTTGTCGATCCCCCGGGGGCCAGTGGCGGGTCCCAGGGACCGAAAGTGGCCAAAGACCTCCAAAGACCCCTTCCCTCACTGCGTGATGCACCAAGCCTTGGCGGCTGCACTCGGGCGCATCCCTTTTGCCGAGGCCGCGGGTGCTTCAGAAGAACCTGTCCGGCCTGGTGCAATCAAACAGTGCATATGTATCCGCCAACCCCCGCTCGCGGGGTAGCAGGCACGCGTGTGGCCAGCGTCGCCTGTCCTGCCTCGATGTACCCTGCAAACGAAGCGCTGACTGTGCCTCACCGCCGCCTCCTCCGCCTCCTCCTCCTCCTCCTTCTCCTCCTTCTCCTCCTCCTCCCCCTCCTCCTCCTCCTCCCCCTCATTCTCTTCCTCCTCCTCCCCCACCGGAAACTGACGCCCAGAGCGACACTGCCAGCGACACTGCCAGCGCCAAGTCTCCGTGCCTTGCATCTTCTCGAGCTTGCAGCTGTGCCCCCCCGGCGCGCCCAGGCGTGGCAGATGGCCAAATGTTGTGTGTTAGGTTCTCTGCAAGTCTCCTCAGCCCCCCCCCCCTTCTCTCGATACGCCTACCTGCATACACATCCCCCTCTCGAGGCCTCATGGACGGCTCGACGTGTTCCCCGTGCTCTCCCACGCCTTCAGGGCTTCCAGGGCGGTGCAGGACAGCACCAACAACGATCGCAAGAGACGCCAAGGGGCCCCAAGACGCTTGCACGACAGCAACAAGAAGGACAGAACGAAAAACCGGTTGAAAATTACTTCTGAGAAAAACCTCGATCAGTGGATGGCCCGAAAGTTTTGCAAGCACCATGCCCGGCCGTTGTTTCGCAAGAGGACCCTAAGAGGATAACCGATTTGCGTGTTGGATGGGTTGTGGCATCCTCACCCTGTCGGGCATCCGTCGGCACAACATAGCCGAAGAGGTATCCAATATTGCCCCTGGACGCCGCACGAGGGGCCAAAAATGACTCAGGCGGGCCTCCGGAGCTACCATCGACGGCCTGAGAAGGCCCCTCGACGACACAACGGGGCCACAACACGTCCCCACACCAGCCCGGAAAAAACATCAGCATCATCAAAAAGAGAAAGAAAAAGGGAGAGAGGGGGCGCCCACCGACAGCCGCTTACCGAAACCGGCCGGCTACTTTCGCCAATCTCTTGAGGGGGTGCCCACCGAGAGCCGCCCACGAAAATCGGCCTGCTACTTTCGCAAATCTCTTCTATGTCCGCTAGGACCCCAACAGTGTAATCGCTGATTGGGGAATTGCTGGTTTCTTGGGACCCTCGGCTCAGCACGGTTTCAAGAGGACCTGTGAGGAGCCAAAGAGGGCCCTGACTGGCTTCATGAGACTCCCAGGAGACCCCTCAGACAAGCCTCTGAACGCCCCGAGCATGCCCAAAGACGGCCCAAAAGAGCCCCAGGGCAGTCTGAAAGGGCCACAGGATGGCGCAAGAGGGCCCCGCGGGTCTCCTGAGACAGCCGCCAGACACTCCCCAGACCGTCAAGGGAGGTCCAAGACAGCGAAAGAAGGGACCCACGACGGCACAGGAGGTCCCCAGGACGCGCCAAGTGGGCCACAAGATGGCCCCGCAGGAGCCCCCACGAGAGCCCAAGCTGGACTCCAAGGTCAACTGGGAGTCACGAGGAGATAGAACACTTGAGTAGACGAGGAGGACGATGACGAGGAGAGGCGCATCAACACGACGCGGAAGAGCACGTCACATGTGACAGCCCTCCCTGGGCTGGGGGCGAGGCAAATGCCGCGCATGACGGCACCCCGCGCGGCGCCCGAAGGGCCGCCGAGCCGAAACGCACGCGCTGCGACGGCGGCGGGCATTGCCGTGGGCACCTGGACGATAGACACATCTTTCAGGCCGCCGTGGGTGCCAGGCTTTGTGCGCGGCTCCTCTCCCAGGCGGCCGCCCCAAGTTTCCACAGGAGGCCGTCTGGGGCCACAGGCGCTCGAAGGGCTGCCCGGGAGCTGCCCAGACACCGAGCGAGCGTGGCCCCATGCGGCGGCATCCTGCCGAAGGTGGCCCCCGGACCTCTCGTGATGGACCCGCGCCGCCCGCCCAAGGCGCACCGAGACGCACCGCGGCAGACACCAGCAAGTCACCCGAGGCGCCCCCCCAGGAGCCCCCCGAGGGCCCCTGCGCAGCAAAAGGCGATCAGGTGAACTATCACTGGCCATCGCTCGGACGCCTGGCGAGAAAAAGTGCACACGTCCGAGCGATACCAAGATCAACATCTGCGTATGCGGTGAGTTCGATTTGCCACCTGGCAGGGCCTCAAAATTGGCTCTCGTGCCTGGGAGCCCCGAGGGCGGCCCATCCCCCCCAAGAGGGACCCCTGGATACCAACCATTTGGCGTCAGGACCACCTAAGACCAACACAGGGCCTCTGAGAAGACCCCGGAAATGCCCCCGAGGAGCACGAGAAAGGCGTCCAAGGAGAGTCCAAAACGTTGCGTAAGAGATTCTCGACGGGCCCCGACGAGTCCCCCAAGATGAGACGAAGCCAGGACGATGACAACATCGGCTGAGGATAAATCGAGAATCTCTGAGACCCAGTGGTTCTGAGGAATGTATCGAACGCTGCGGCCGTCCCAAGGCATTCTGGAACGCTCCGAGAGCGTTCCAAACGCTCTGGAACGGATGTATCATCGTCCTAGCCCCGCCCGGCAAGAGGCAACGCAATGTCAACTGCGTGCCATTGGTCAGGGACTTCCCTGATCTCGGCGGGAGCGCGCGCGGCGGCGCAACTGACTTCGTCTGTGTGCCTAAGCAGCGACGTCGCAAGGGAGGCTTGGACTGTGCGGAGTCGACCTGCTGCTGCGCCTGCTGCCACTAATCAGCTCCTCCTGAACCAGCCTCGAACTTGTCCATATCCCGAAGATCGACAAGCCTTAGGCGATGACAATCTTGAGACGTGCCCAAAAAACTGCAGGAATCCTTGAGATCGGCACCCAGGTAAGGTGATGCCAAACATAGGGATCGGGGCATGCTTCGAACAGGTGATTCCTGCTTTTCCTGCCTTTCCCGCTCCGCACCTCCTCCTGCTCTTCCGCCTCATCCACCTCCAGCCTCCTCCTCCAGCTCGTCCAACTGCTCATCCTGACTCTCGTCGTGCACTCAACGCTCGCTACCCCTTGCTGCTGATGCTCCCCCTCATACCAGACATCCGTCCTCGCACAGCCATGTGTCGATGGAGAGAGGCCTTGGCCAGAACATACACGGGGAAGAACAATCTATGATCCAAGACTCCGCCCCCCCACCCCCGCTCATGCTGATGCCTCCGGCCCCATCTCCCCCGCGCAAAGAATCCCCACCGCCCCCTGTGGGCGTGGCGTGGTGGACTTACCTCCTGTGGGCGTGAGGTGGTGGGGGATGCCCCCTCCCCCTGTGGGTGTGGGGTGGTGCTTCGGCGCTGTCGTCGTAATCGTCGTTGTCGTCATCGTCATCGTTGTTGTCTACGTCGTCGTCGACGTCGTCGTCGTCTTTCGTCGTCGACGTCTTCCGTCGTCGTCGTCGCCGTCTTCCGTTAGCGCTGGCGTCGTCATCGTCGTCGTCGTCGTCGCCCCCGAAGGGGGAGGGGCGTGGAGCTATGGGGCCCATCCCATCTGGGGGGGGGGCGTGTGCCCTGAGCCCTGGATCATATGCACCGCCACCAGGCCTCCCAGCATGCCTCATGCTGGGCCAGATCTTGCTGGCTGGGGGCCGACATGCGTCAGGATCTGGCCCTACATCGGCCCGCCGAGACCTACCTCGGAAGGTAAAACCAATAACAATGTCACGCCAGTCGGACGACCCCATCAGCGTGCCACAGACAATATAGGAAACACAGAGTTTTCTGCGAGTAACGGATGGACAACACGCACACTTTCCGAGAAGACGCGGGTGACATTGATACTGGCATCCCTCCCGCCTCGTGGCACTTTGAATTGTCCTTCCCCCGGATACGAAAATGCCCGCACTCTTCGAGCCGCTCACATGATGGAGCAGTCTTCCCCCTCGCCCTGGCGCAGGGTTCGCAGGTAGGGGGCAGCGAAGACGACAGCAGACGTGGGGAAGGCATGGCGGAGAGAGTTGGGCGAGGAGGGAGAGGACAGAGGAGGCGCGGGGGAAGAGAAAACTGGCAGGGGAGACCGTCAGAGGTGGGCTGTGAGGAGAGAAGCGGGGAGAAACCCACAGATACGAGCGCATGGCATGCGACCGACATCGGAGGCGAGCCTGGGGGGGGGGGGAAATCGAGAAGGGGCGGACCCAGCCTCACGATCCGCTTGCTGAGCCTTCCCCGAACAGGCCGAAAACCTCCGAGAAGGCCGCAGGGCTTCTGAGAAGCCCCGCCGCCTCCAGAGCAGGCTCATGTTTGAAGAGGCCTTGGAACACACATGAATAGACACGAATAACAGGATTCCCAATCTTTTCCTATATCTTCTGGGTCTTTGTCTTCCCCCAAAATTCCCATGTTCTCCCATATTTTCTAGGAATCGACGATTCATTGTGTCTATGTGTTTTTGTTCCCTCCTGAATGTTCCCCCCTCGCCTGACGCCGACACAGGCACAACCAGGCAGACGGGCTCGCTGGACGCGGTCCGCGTGCGGCGAGGCGCAGAGGCGGCCGAGGGCGCGGGCGGGCGGGAGGAGAGAGAGAGAGAGAGAGAGAGGAGCCGCGGCAGGAGAGGCAGGGGAGGCAAGGTGCAGTGGGACCTGGCTCCTCGGAGCACCTGTGACTCGCCACCGCTCGCGCGTCCATGCCCCCGGGCACCTGTCCGTCTCGTGCGCGTAGTTTTGCGCAGGATACTCCCAGATGCTCCCCCGCGCCCGCGTAGCAAGTGGAATATGCAGAACTGGTCGGATCTCCGCGGGGATGCACCTACGGGTGATGTGCCTGCGCCCCGCTGGTCCCGGGCCGGGCCAGGCTGTGCTGCCCGGCGGAAGGGGACGAGGACGGGAGAAGCAGGCGGACGACGACGAACGCCCAGGCGGGAGGCCAGGGCCGGCGGGGCGGGCGGGCGGGCAGAAGAGGGGCCAGGCGGGGAGAGCAGGCCCCCGCCCGGGGGAAGACAGGCAGACCTCTGCGCGCTGCCGAGGCCACTGCTCCACACCTCGGCCCCGCCCTGCGCAGGCTCGCGTGGCGCCGAAGCGCGCGCGGCCGAAGCAGCGACGCGCAGAGTGCTGGGAGGCAGCGCAGGGGGGGGGGGGGGGGGGCGCTGGGGATCGGGGACCTCCTGACCCGGGTCAAGTTCGAAGTTCGGGGAGAGCGAAAGGGGGGGATGGCAAAGGCCAGGTAGAGAATCAGCTGACGTAGCTGACTTTCCCAGCGCCTCCCGGCGCCGGGATGCGCGCCATGTATCGAGGAATGTGCCCGGCGGCGGGGCCGAAACCAGCTGCATGCAGCAGATTTCGTACCCCCCCTTTCCCGATCCCCCCCGTTTCGTTCGGCCCGAACAATGCAAACCCTGGTCAGTCAGGCCCTGCGGGATCCTGCAAGATCCTGTACAGGATCCTGCGCCCAGGCCCGGGTCAGTGCGCGCCCCTGGCTCTGCAGGATCCTGCAAGAGCATGCGCTCTGGCTGACCCCCGTCTGCATGGACCCCCGCCTCTTGAACCCCGACAACGCGGGGGGGGGGTGGGGGGGAACCGCCGGGGAGAAGCTTGAGCAGGGACCGACCGTCCCAGCATTCCGAATTATAGTCCTACTACGTTTTTTGTTTAAGAACCCAAGCATGTTTCTAAGAACAAAAACCATGTTCGTATAACAGAAGCCCGATGTGTTGAAACAAGACTATCTCAACCAGACATGTTCTAAGAACATGTCGTGGAAACCACAGAAGGCTCTTAGAACACTGTTCGGTAGGGCTATAGGCGAGCCAGGACGCTTCGCCACTGCTTGAGAAGCGCGGGGGCGTGCCAGAGCGGGAGGCGGCTCCACGGGGAGCGGCACGGAGAGGCGGGGGGAGGGCGGGCGAGGGCAAGAGGGAGCAGAAGGGAGAGCGCCGCAGGGGGGGGGGGGGCGGCGGCGCGCCCACGGAAGGGGGAGGAAAGGCAGAGGGGGCGGGCCTCGTCAGAGGGCTCGGAGGGCCTCCCTACAGGGGCCCGGGGACACGCACATACATCGATACAACTCCCAGGATGTTCCCGTGTTTTCCTGTGTTTTCTGGGTGTTCGTCTTCCCCTCCACCTCCCACATGCTCCCACATGCCCTGGGAGTCGGCGATGAGTCGTGTCTGTGTTTTTGCTCCCTCCTCACCCTTCCCTTCTGGGAAGATGTCTAGGCCTCCTCCGAGGCGGCTTCTCAGAAGGCTGGGGGGAACCTGGCCCCCCCCGCCGCCTTCTGGAAAGCCCTACCCCCTCTCACTTCCCCCTCGGCGCGCCGCCGACGAGAACGCAGCAGAAGGAGCACCGCGGATCGGAGGCAGAAGCGGGCAGAACCATGCCGTGGGCAGGCGCTGAAAAAATCGAGGGGGTCTCAGCCCGCTCCCTGAGAAGGGGAAGCCGCAGGGAAAGCCACTCGATGACTGAAGTATAGGGGGCGCCTGACATGAATTGGGATCCTCGGCGGTGGACACAACCTCCATTCAGTAAACCTCCCCTTGATGAAAACGGCCTGGGGGACCGAAAGCGACGGACATGGACCCACAAAAATGACGGCCGCGGCGCACTCTCGCGAACCGAAGACGGCCGATTCCTGAATCGGCGTGTCGGTGCAGGAGGTCCATCCACCTCCGAAATTGGGGGGCGCCCGACACCAGAAGGGGACCTGGGAGCCCCAGCAGACACAAACCGAAAGCCCCCAAACCGCCGCTCTGCTGGAGTCCTGGCGAGGCGCCGGGCGCTCCCGAGAGCGGGAGCCCCGTGGCCCTCCGGAGCGCGGCACGCGAGGCCGCCGGAGGCCGACGCCGAGCTGTCCCCCGAGCGCCGTGCACGGGCCGCGCAGAGCACCTCGGCAGCCCTCGGGTGGCCCAGCAGTCGGACTCTTTTTTTGATTTGCTCGCGGGTGATCGCCTGCCAATCACTCCTGCCCGAAGTCGACGACAACGAGCGAGGGGCCCGAAAGGGACCGAAAAGGGGAACGAGGGACGGACCCAGGAACCCAGACACAGGACGAGCGAAGGGACCCGACCGAAGAAACAAGGGACACGAAACCTCGAGGGCCTCGAGCAGTGCAGGACACGCGGGAGGGCGCAAAGGGCCCTCCCGAGGGCCACGTTGCCAGAGGAATGCAGGAGGCACGGGTCGCGAGACTCAGGACAGAAAGGCGGCCTTGCTGAGGCAGGGTCGACCTACTAATCCGGGCCGACTGTAACAGTCCCTTCAGCCTCTCGGCCCAAACCTGGCGGGCGCAGGCCTGGAAAATGACGGCCGCGGCGCCCCCTCGAGAACCGCAAGCGGACAGCTCCCTGATCGACGCCTCTGCCTGCACGGGCGCTCTTGTGCGCAGCTGGAGTGCACCAGCCAGGGCGCTTCCCTGGGCCACACGACGGTGCGTGCCAGAGCGCTTCCCCGGGCAGCCCGACGGTGCCAGGACGCAGAGACCGCCCCGGAGCTCTCCCAGGGCTTGGGGCGGGCTCCTGGGCCGACCCAGGAGGGGCCCTGAGAGCCTCAACAAGAGGCGACAAACCAGAACAACACAGATTGCTCACACTGTCGACGCAGACTCGGTCTCGTTAGTGTCCGAGACAGCCCGATCACCCCCAAATGTCCTCCAAAGATGGCATCCGAGGCTCCTACGAGGGGCTACGGAGGATCGGGCGGGGACCTACATTATCCTGGCGAAGGGCCCAACCACTTGCAGTTGTGAATACTGCCGTTGGGAGAACTGCCTTCGGTGGAGCTTCCTATGGGCACGAAGCGCGCGAAGGGTGCACCGCAATGTGGCGGGGCCGCCATGCGGGCGCTGCCGCTGGGGCCTTCGGTGGGGCTCCCTATGGGGCCACGAAGCGTGCGAGGGGTGTGCCAAACAGGCGGGGGCGGCATGCAAACCATGCCACTGTAGTCCTCGGTGGAGCTGCCCGTGGGGCCACGACGCGTGTGACCAGTCTGCCAAAATAGATGTTGGACGGCATGCGAACCATGCCACTGTGGCCTTAGGTTGAGTCCCTGTGGAGCCACGAACCGTGTGAATGGTGTGCCAAAATAGAGAGGGGGGCGGCATGCGAATCCTGCCGCTGGGGCCTTCAATGGAACTCCACTTAGGGCCGCGAACCGTGTGACGGGCGTGCCGAAGTGGACGGAGGACGGCATGCGAACCATGCCACTTGGGCCGTCGGTGGAACGCCCTGTGGGGCCACGAACCGTGTGAGGGTTGTGACAGAAAGGGGAGGGGGGCGGCGGCATGCGAACCATGCCACCGGGGCCTTCGGTGGGGCTCCGTATAGATGTGGCCGCGAAACGTGTCAAGGGTGTGTGGAAGAGGGGGGGGGCCGTGCAGTTGATGCCGCTGGGGCCTTCGGTGAAGCTCCCTATGGGGCCACGGAACGTGCGAGGGGTGTGCCAGAAGGGGGGGCGGCATGCAACACGTGCCACTGGAGCCTTCGGGGGAGCTGCCCGTGGGGCTACCATGGGTGTAACCGGACTGCCAAAATAGCAGTTGGGCGGCATGCGATACATGCCACCGGGGCCTTCGATGGAGCTCCCAACGGGGCCGCAAAACGTATGGGGGCTGTGCCAAACTGGATGGAGGGGGCGGCCTGCGAACCCACAGGGGTTTTCGGTGGGGCTTTCTGAGGCCACGAAACGTGTAAGGGGTGTGTCAAGGTGGACGGGGGGCGGCATGCCAACCATGCCATTGGAGCTTTCGTTGGAGCTCCCTATTGGGCCACCAAACGTGTGATGGGTGCGCCAAAGTGAATGGGGTGACGGGAGGAGGATGGAGAGGAACAGGATGAGGATTAGGAGGAAGAGGAGGACGAGGACGAGCAGAACGAGGACAACGAGGAGGAGGGGGGAGAAACGGGGCAGAGTGGAGGGGAGAGGGGAAACGCGTGAAATGTCCCTTCAAAACGAGGACCCAACACCACAGGATGGTTGGGAAGAGTTTGTTGACACCCGCGGCGCTCCAAAGGGCAACCAAGCCGCACGGTGGCGACATGGGCCGAAAAACCCACGCCACGGCCCGAGGAAGAACGTAGTAGGAACGCACAAAGCGGGTGCGCCAGTTCGCGGTGCGCTTAGGAGGCTCACTCCGACGGTGCGCTGAGAAACCCATGCCGACCTCTGCAAAGGGAAAACGTTGACGTTACATGAAAGGTGGTGGTGATCATGATGGTGCTGACGACAACGGTGACGAAGATGATGATTTGGTGTTGGCAACTACGTATTGTCAACAACCTTTGGGCCAGCAGGCTTTCCGTATCCGGACAGTTCTGCGCGGCTGCCGGCGGCGAAAGGTCAGTTTGCGACTCACAGAAACACGACACGGGCGCGCGACAAACATACTTCCCCTGCTCGAGCGGATCGCGCCGGGAAGCCGGCCCCCAAAAAAAACAGCACGGCGGCGCCAAGATCCGGCCGCCAACTGTAGGGCGACAGTGCTTCAGCGGGGGGGGCAGCAGCGCCTCCGCTAAATTGGGGCTTTTGGAGCAACATGGTTACAGACAGGAGCGAAGGAGGCGAGCGGGACGACACAACGAAACAGGGCGGGGAATAATGGGGGAGAGGAAGAGCGGCACAAGTACTTGGCCAGGGGTCGTCTTTCCCCTCTCGACCCCACCCCCGTCACCTACACGATGGCCAATGGAACGAAGTGGTTTCGTAGGCCCGCTGTAATCAACGACGAAGGAAACAGGGCCGACGACGGGGCAACCGACGACGCGCGCTCGCGCTGCGGATGTCCGAAGAGGGCTGCGCACGCGTGCTGTGGTCGACGACGGCCGACCGCGAAGAAGCGACGACGGACGACGGCGACGACGGACGACGACGACGACGGACGACGACGACGACGACGACAACGCGCTGCGAATGCCATGCGGGGAAATTGCGCAAAAGGGCCACCGTGCACGACGACGACGACGACGACGACGACGACGACGACGACGGCGGCGGCGGCGGCGGCAGTTGTGACGACGACGACGCACTGCGGATGCCCCATGGGGGTGGGGGTGCTGCGTAGGCCCGCTGTTGTCGACGACGAAAACGGCGACGATGCGCTCCGGATGCCTCATGGCGGCGCAGGGGGACCGCCGTGGACGACGACGACGACGACGCAATTCGGATACCCCACGGGGGTGGAAGGGTGCTGCGTAGGCCCGCTGTATGCGACAACGACGACGACGACGATAACGACGACGACGACGACGACGACACCGACAACCGACGACCAACGACCGACGGCGACCACTTCCACGACGACGCCGATGACGACGACGACGACGACGACGACGTCGCACTGCCGGTGCCAGCCCCCTGGGGGGGAGTACTGCGTAGGCCCGGCATAGGCGACGACGACGGAGACGACAGACTCAGACGCGCTGCGGATGCCCCAAGGGGGATCGACGATGACGACGACGGTAACAACTGCGGGTACGTCAACAATCAGCATGAGAAGGGGAGAATGCAACCCTCGGACGCATGGAGAATGCAACCCTCGGACGCATGCAATCCCCAAGATTCACAAATCTTTTGCGGCAAAGGCAAACGCTTGATGCTGCCGTACACGGGGTGCACGCACCCCTCGCTGGCACCCGCGATGGCCCCCGGCGCACGTGATTAAGGACTGTATTTCGAGCCTCGTTGGGCCTATTCATAGCCGTGGGAGGGGTGGGAGCCTTGTTGGATAACCGCAAGCTGACATGATCGGGCTAGTGAAGCAGGGCACGATGACGACGCGACGACGCCGACGCCTGCGAGGAAAGATCCGCAACAGGAGGGGGGGCGCGCAACGCCGGGGACGAGAATGCAGCGAAGAGAGAGAAGGACGACCAACGGCGACGAAACGGAGAGGAAGAGAAGGGCGAGGGTCGTGCAACGTCGGGGGAAGAATGCTGAACCTGTCGCCGTCCCGAAAACTACTTCCAGAAGGTGAAGGTGCGGGTTAAAGCAGGACGTGTGCGCGGACTTCTCGAATCGCTGCTGGGACCCGTCCTGGCAAGCCACGGGGTGCGCCAGACCCATCGCAGATCCACGACATCCGCACGGACCTCCCAAAGAGTTGGCTCATGCCGCTTTCTTTACCGATGCATGCAACAAGATGCCCTCCTATGAGAAATCTGGGGGCACAATTGTCGTCAACCTTCGGTTTCACAAGGCCGCCCCTTTGTCATGCACTAAACGGGGAGGATACTCTCACGCTGCCCGCCCGCTCCGAACCCGAAGGCAGGTCACAAGTAAATCCGCATCTGGGAGCTGACGGGCCTGGGGGATGAATCGGTCTGTGACCAAGTGCGAACCCTAGGCCTGCAGGTCCAATCGACGCTGGGCTCTCGGACTCCCCGGCTGGGGTTCACCTGGCTGCGGGCATCCCTCGAACTCTGAACCCCAAGAGATTGCTCGAAATCTGACCAGCAGGGGTATGGTTCACGTGCGGCTGCTGCGGCCGTCCTAGAGCGCACCAGAACGCTCCGAGAACGTCCTTGAGCGCTCTGGAGCGGCTCATCTTCATCCCAACCACGAGCGGCGAACATGTCCATACGCATTCCCTCTTTGGCCTGGACTTCGGAGCGCGATCCGGTGGGCACGCGGTCGCATGGATAGGCTCCGCACGGGGTCCTCGCGGAATGGACACTGCCCTCCGCCCGCGAGCTGTGGACCTGCCTGGTCTGCCCTGCAGGGAGCGGGCAGCGGGTGCGCCCACAGCATCTCTTTCAGGTTCTCCACGCTGGGGGCCACGTCGTTCTCTGGCCTCCGCAGCGAGTCGAACTCCTCGGGGGCAGCGGCGCCGGGCCACCCACCGGGCAAGTCTGCAGGCCAGAGAGGGAGCCCAGCACGCCTCCACCGCTCACCAGAGATCGCGGCGCTGGGGTGCGGCGAGTCTGCGCCGCGGCGACCTGCGCGGTGCTTTCGCTATGGCTCCGCGCTGGGCGACCAGGCTTCTGGTGGCTTCTTGCCACCCCTCTCCAAACCCCCCCGAGAGGCCCAACGATGATGCACCCAAGGGAGGAGGAGGTCTGGGCTAAGGTCGGGCGTGCCCCCCTACAGGCGGAGTTTAGACGAACACACAAAAATACCCCCAAAATGCTCAAGCACAGGAATTGGAAGAGGAATGCTAAAAATACTCGAAACACCCTAGAAACAGGAAATACCCCCCCACCCAAAAAAACAAAAAACGTCCCCATACTATTGTAGACAACTATGTTTGAATCTTCCTCCTGTAGAGGGACAGGCGCCACTGGAGTCTGGGCTTGGCGGGCGGAGAGCTGTCCGAGACCCGAAGTGCGGGCCCGATCGGCCCAAGAGGGCGACGGGAGGCCACGGGAACAGGCCCACGAGACCCCCGCGACGAGGCGAGGTGCCCCCAATGGGCCCCGAGAAGCGAGGAGGAGCGAGGAGGAGGAGGAGGAGCGAGGGAGGAGGAGGAGGAGGAGGAGGAGGAGGATGAGGATGAGGAGGAGGAGGAGGAGGAGGAGGAGGAGGAGGAGGAGGAGGAGAGAGGAGGAGGAGGAGGAGGAGGAGAAGGAGGAGGAGGGAGGAGGAGGAGGAGGAGGAGGGAGGAGGAGGAGGAGGAGGAGGAGGAGGAGAGCCAGGAGGAGGAGGAGGAGGAGGAGGAGGCCCGACGACTACGCCACGAGGGCCTCGCAGCGGCCCCAGACAACCAAAAACGAATACCCTGGCCGCGGCACCGCGCGCCGCTGCGGAGCACCCTCTTGCCTCCACACCAGTCTTCTCGCCGAAGGAGGCATCAACAAAAGTGCAGCCGAAACGACGTCCGAAGGAGCCCTGAGTGGGGCACGAGGCACCCTTTTCCCATGAATTCAACTTCGGTCTCCCGTCGAGAACCTAAGGAGCATCGGGGAAAAAACTTTAAAACAAGAAAGGCACACTGAGCCCCTCCTCAACGAAGAAGTTCCTTGTCCAGCGGCCCGACTGTAAAACTTGCCAAGATGGCTAGAGGATGACCCAGAGCTTTCGCAGACGGCTGATCGGCGGTGGACAAAACTCCCTTTAGTAAACCAACCTTTAGTGAAAACGGCCTAGGACCAAAACCGACGGACCTGGACCCGCCGCAAAAATGACGGCCGCGACGCCCTCTCGCGAACCGAGAACGGCCAATTCGCTGATCGACGTGTCAGGGTAGGAGGTCTATCAACCTCCGAGCTGAAGGGTTCCCACACAGAGGGCACCAAGACGAACCAAGAGGGCCACAAGCAGGACCACAAAGAGGTCACCAAGCGGGCCCCTTCGCTCGGAACAGGGGAATTGCGACAACGGCAACTCCAAATCGGTCCCCGGACCCCGTCCGGGGGTCCACGCGCACCAACTTTCCGAAAATTGCGTTCGGCCGTGACGACGGTGGCACCCCCGGGGGCCAACTACCGTTGTATCAGCTCGACCTTTTCTGAATCACGGCTGCGACACCCGTCATCCTTCCTCCGTCTCTCCTCTTTCGCCTCTCTTGGCGTGCTCCACTCTGTGGAGGGACATGCATGGCAAAGCACGCCCTCGCGGTCGTCGAGCTCCTTACCCTCCTCTGGATCCACGTCCACGTCCAGCGCTTCTCTTCCAAATTCGCCGACCTTGACGACGTGTGAGAGACGCTGTTTCCTTTGATTCGTCGTCATAGTCGTCGTCGTCGTCGTCGTCTTCGTCGTCCTCGCCGACGCCGCTAACTCCCCCGCTTTCATGGGCCCTCCTCCTCAAGCGCGCCAGCCATAGCGAAATTGAGCAACGCCGTAGTTGAGTCGAAGTGAAGCCCCTTCCCTTTGCTCCATCCCCCGCCGGGGGGGGGGTCCCAGAGAGGGTGTTGAGGGGGGGTCCTGGGTCAGAATACCATCCCTCCAGGGAGTCCAGGAAACCAGACAGGCCCCTAGACGGGCCAAGTGTGCCCTAAGAGCCCAAGAGGCCCCCAAGACGGTACAAGAGGGCCTCGAATCGCCGAACGATCGGCCCAGGGCGCGCACGATAGCCTCAAGACGGACCAAGAGGCCTCCAGAACGCCCAAAGAGTCCTCCAAGAGCACTCCCAAGAGGGCCCCAAGAGGCAAACTTCATTGGTTTGCCTCAGGTTTCTGGAAGATGTTGGCGTTCTCGCAGTTTCGGCTCGCCGACGCGGCGCGGCCCAAGAGGCCTCCCAAATCGCCGCAAGACAGCCCAAGCAGCCTCCAAGAGGCCCCCGAAACGACCAAAGAGGAGCCCCACGACGGTCGAAGAATGCCCCGAAGACGGCCCCATGAGCCCCTAAGACGGCCCAATAGAGCTCCCAGAGGGCCGCCCAGAGGGCTCCACGAAGCAAACATCGCCCCGATTGGTTTGGCATGCTCGCCGTCTTCGTCTTGACAGCGTCCACGACGGCCCAAGGGCCCCAAAGATCGTCCCAAGGCAGCCCCTGGGGCCCCCAAGGGAGCCCCAAGACACCCAGAGAAGGCCCCAAGACGGTCCCATGAGCTCCCAAGACGGCCAAAGAGGGCCCCAGAGCCCTAAGGGGGGCCTAGAAGGGGAAATGCAAACTACAATTTCGACCCTTCCCCCCACCAGATGGCCCAAAGAGACCCCCAGAAGCCCCTGAGGCGCCCACAAGAGGCCCCAAGAGGCCTCCACGAAGTCCTCAAGAAACCGCAAATGACCCCCAAGAAATCGTTCAAACTCAAGACGTTACATAAAGAGGAGGCCTCCAAGAAGCCTCCAGAAAACCACAAGAGGACCTCAACAGGCATCCGTAAAGAATAGGCCTTCAAGAAAACCAAACAAACTCCACAAACAGCGCTCCAAGATGCCACTCCGAAGCACCCCCAGACCTCCTCAGATATATCCGAGAGGCTCTTGACCCACAACATCACGTCAGCAATCGACGGAAGCTATCAACTTTTTGCGAGTCGCATTGTCGTCGTCACTTTCTTCTCAATTTTCCTCTTTCTCATTATCCTCGTACTCCCACTCCTCGTTCCCGTCCTCCTCTCCCCCTCCTCTTGTCGCCCCCCCTCCTGCGTCGCCGCTTCACCCTGTCGAGTCTCCCCCGCCATCTCAGATGGCACTTCGCGAGTCACACCCTCGTCGTCGTCCCTCCTTCTCCACCTCCTCCTCCTCCTCCTCCTCCTCCTCTTTTACCCCATGTTCCTCTTCGTACTTTCCTCCTCTTACTTGTCCTTATCTCCTCCCTCCCTCCGCCTGTCCTCCTCGCCCAGCGTCGCCAACGCACCATTCAGGGAATCCTCTGCCATGTCAGCAGAGAGGTCCGCCAGTGTCTCCCTCGGGCTTGGGGGTCGGCGGAGTGGCCGAAACCTCCTGGAAAAAACGGAGAAACGCAACGCATGTAAGTTAACAAACATCCGCGCAGATTTCTTGGGCCGGCGGAGGGCAAGCCTCCCTGGCGCGCCAGGGGCGGCGCTGGCGCCGACAGGAAGGGTACAACAGAGGGTCTCGCGCAGACCTCCAGACGTGGACGTTCGCGTCGTCTTGGTGTTTCGACTGCACCATGGGTGAAGGGAAATTAGGACACACAAATAAACACACACAAATAAAAATATTCCCCATATTTTCCCATATTTTTTGGATTTTCGTCTTCCCCCCCACTTCCCATATTTTCCCATATTTTCTGGGAATCGACGATTAATTGTGTCTGTGTGTTTCTTTCCCTCCTGAATGGGTGCACGACCGAGCTCGGGCCCTGCCAGAGCTCGCTCGACGCAGTGACGCGACGCCGTCCTCCACGATCTTCTGGGGCCTGTCCACCTGCAGCTCGTCTCTCTTCGCCGTGCCCACCAGTGTGAGCTTCGTGGCCTCGCGCGCATGGGCACACGAGCAAGAAAACAGCACAACACACAAGCTTCCGGAGGTTCGCGCGGACCCCTCCTGCCGCCCCCCCCTTGTTCGCGCCGCCAGGCCGCGGCGGCGTTCTTCGCCTCATCTGGGAGCACGACTGTAGTGCACCAGCCCCAAAAGCAAGCGGGTCGGGCACAAGGCCATGGAGAAGGGATCTTGTGGAGGAAAGGATGGGCACCCCCTGGGGACACAATTTTCCACACCACTCCGACGAACAATCTGATCCGACGCAGGGTACGCCCACGGGGGCAGGAGAGCCCAGAATCGAATCGACAAGTCGGACCGGCGATCGACGTGAATCGGATCGGCGGAGACCGGCAGCCGAGTCGGGAAAAGCCGCATCGGCGGACATCGGCAGGCCAGGAGGCCTCCAGCGAGAGATCGGCGCCCGAAGCGGCATCCGCAGCCGAATCGCATCGGAAGCGGCGGCCGCCGGGGTCGAACCGCACCGAGCCGGAAGCACCGGAGCGAGCCCCAGAAGCGGGGGCGGAGACCCTCCAAAGACTTCCCCACAGGCGCCCGTGGGCGCCGGGCCCTCGGCCGCCGCACCGTGCAAGGCTGACTACCTACCAGACCATCCCAACCCAACCCGAAGACCCGAATTTCGGGTTGGGGGGGATATGGGCTCCATATGTGTTTTTTCGACGTTCCCGGACCCCCCCCCACTAGAAATCGAGGGTAAATCCGACCCTTCGGGTTGGGTTGGGGTGGTTTGGTGGGTGGAGAAGGCCCTCCAAAGACTTCCCCACAAGCGCCCGTGGGCGCCCGGGCCCTCGGCCGCCGCAGCGTGCCCGGGCGCGCAGAGGCCTCTGGCCGCGGCGCCGCCCCGTGCGGGCTCGGCGCGCGGCGGCTGCTCCGCAGGCGGCCTGCCGCGCAGGCGGCCGCGCGGCGCTCCTCGGCGCGCTCTCTCCGGGGGGCCCCCCCGCGCGGGGGGGGCACCAGGGGTGCAGCAGACACCGCGAGGGAGGGCGCGCGAGCAGGGCGCAGGAACCTCGGGAGCCCACGCCGATGCCCTTCTCTCGAGCGGGGGCTGGCCGCCAAGAGTGGCCCAGATCGGGCCGGAGGTGGCCGAGGAGGCAAGGACGCAGAGGTACCCTGGGGATGCCGATCACCTTGGCTATCGGTCTCGGCTGTACGGGGGGCGGGACCAGCTGAGGTGGAGAAACATCGACCTGGAATCGGCGATACCTCGCCGACAAATCCGCCATAAACCACCGATATCGGAACCGCACGGTCCAAGACGGGGAGGGCTGTCGGGCCCCAATTCATCCTCATCGCGGCCTCGAAGACCTACAGGCGTTGACAACTACAAGATTCGGACGACCCCCTCTGGTTGGAGAAAAGATGGGGGGGCTCATGAAAAAGGGACTCCCGCTCAAAATATCCTCCTCCCAATCCAATCGTAAACTCCCGCGTGAGATCTTTCTGCAAAGCCAAGCCCCGTAAAACCAAACAAACATAATTATACAAGACTAGGACGACCCACGATGCATTTAACTGTTTAAAAAAGGGCCCATCGAGAAAAGTTTCCGCTAGAGACTTCCTTTCGCTGCACTCATGATCGAGATATCGTTTGAAATGTCCTCCAAATTCAACGAATGACCACGGCCACGGCATTCCGGATTGATGTCTCAGATGGACAAAACGAAAAAAAAAACGGGCCCCCAAAAGACGGGTTCCCTCTCGAGACCCGATTACATGTGAATGCAAACGAACCTCCCGCTCGATACGTCTTCCGAATGCAACCCTCGAAAACGAGCAACGATGATAAAACCACTATTTGGGTTGCCACCTTTGTCGCGAGTGGAAACGAGGGATCCGTCAGGAGGGGTTCCCGCCCGAGTTTCCTCCTGCGTGTGCAAGCCTCATAATCCCAATCGCAATGGCAAACACAAGATTTGGACCATCCTGATCGGATTAAGTTTGCGAGGTCGGGGACCCACAGGGAAAGCTTTCCTCTCGAACCTTCCTTGCAATTATTCGTGAACGCGAATCCCATACGAAATGTCCTCTAGATTCAACCTCCCGCAGCAAACAAAAGACGGCAACTACAGGCGTCGGATGGTTTCGCGTTACTTGCGAAGTGAAGCGGGTCGGGCCCATGAAGGAGGGGTCGTCGCTCGAAGTTTTCGGCGAATTCGTTCCTAGGCATGTTCGGCTTGTACCTCCAAGGTCCAGCAACGCTATTCCAATATTGACGACAAACACACAATTTGAAAAACAAACATCGGAATAAACCCAGACATTGCAGAAAAGGTCCAGAGAGCCTCCGGCTCGAGATGTCCTTGCAAGTCACCCGTCAACGAGGATCCCGCTCGAGATACATATTCCTGGTTTAAACCCCATAAACCCACAAGCGGCAACGGCTACGCGATTCGGATGGTCCCATCGAATGACAAAGTGACTAGGCCCCACACGATGAGGCTCCTGATCGGAACTTTCTTGCAAATGAAAGAGAACAGCATATCCGTGCGCATAAAGCAGCCGCCAGTTGCACACTGCAAACGGCACTGCAGTGAACACGCAACGCCAGGCAAAGACGTCGGCGGCGGCAACGAGGAGGATGCGCTGTCCATCCGGGCGCGCGACGTGCGTCTGGCAGCCGGATGTGAAAACGTTCAGCTTACCCAAAGTAAGAGCCCGACCGTAATGACCTCCCGCAATCCGAACGCCCTCCATCATCAATCAGCAGGTCATCTGGAAACATCAACTCACTGATACGTAGCCACCTATCATGTTGTAGACATTCGCGAAGCATGTAGCGGCTTGGGTTTTGCCTAAGCACTGCCATCGCAGTGCGACACAAGACGGGGGAGAGAGGCGAGACTCCAGAAAGCTGCGCATGCGACTCGGAGGTGGGCTCGGCGTCTCTCACGCGAAGACTCCAGCTGTTGTGAATTAGCTTCGCTGCGGCCACGAAGTTCTCAGGGGCGCGGAACCCAGAAAGTGGTTGCACGATGTTGTCCAGCGATACGTTGCCGAAGGTTTGGCACAACCCCTTCTTTAAGATCGCGGTGGCGAGTGCTTCGTGAAAACAACATCTGGCACGCGGGATCCCTTTCAGCACCGATTGCATAGTGAAACCGCCCACTTGCAGACCGAATGGCCATGCGCGCTCATCGCTTTCTAGAACTCGGCAGCCACGCCGCCGTTGAGGAAAGCCCTGCTGCATGTCCTAGACCGCGCCGCCGTACGCTCTTCTTACTCTGTGCCGGGGGCCATCTCATCTGGCAAGATGTCTCCCGCAGGCGCCAGTTCGTCGATCAGGGTCGCTGGCCGCTTTGCCCACTAGGTCGTCGAAACAGAATGTGTCAACGTGTCTGCCCTGGCATCGCTGTCAATCGGAAGTCCCTGAGAGTCGCGAGGGCGCCCCTGTGTAACAGCAATTCATTTTCGCAATTGTTCAACCTCACCCCAACATCCGTGACGCAGCCAGTCATTTAACTATCTGCATTTGGCATGTTTGACTGAAGCCTTGGCCCTACCATGTAACATATTCTCACAAAACTTATGCCCTTGGTTTCTGGCATGATCCCGCGCTGCGTTCCGAGGTATCGACGCTGACCCAAAGCTGAGCGCGATGCCCAATGACCTCCTGCACAATGGCAGCAGCAGCGGCTGAGGGGAGAGCCACGGCCAGGCATGTGCTCAGCTCGGTCAGGGTCGGCACATCAGTTACATACTCGTCCATAAAATCCGCGAGATGGCTGCAATATTCTCAGTGCGCCTGTTCCCGCGACAATTACTTGGGAGGCGCCGTCCGCGGCGCTATCCATATTGGTATGTGTATGTAAATATGGATAGATCACTCGACCTGACATAACACGAAATGCTACGAAACTAAAGCAAGTTAGTTGCGACTCACGTCACGCATACGTTGCAGCGCTTGCTCGCAGCAAATTAAACAATCAATATGGCCAACATGGTTTGGCACTGGAGGGTCTGACTGTGTTGCAACTCAAAGATAAACGAACCAACCACTCGAGGCGCCCTCAATATTCATGCCTCGGAGACCCGACAGCGACGACAGTCACAACATTTTGATAAACCCTCCCTGGCTCATAAAAAGAAGACTTACGCAAGGAGGGGTTCCCGTTCTTCCTCCAAACTCAAGCCTCGGAAACCAGACGTAACGACGGATACACGACTTGGACGATCCCCATCGGAGAAGGAAGGGCTTCCCGCTCGAGACTTGCTTGCAAATTACGCATGAAAGAAGATCCCCCTCGATACGTCTCCAGCTTCAAGCCTCCGAAGCGAAGAATTGATAATGTTGATGCTTTCTTCGGGTGAAGAAGTGACGGTCCCTTTACTCGGGGTTCCCGCTAGAGACGCTCTTGGACTGCAAGCGACGAACCCGCCCGAGACGTCTTCCAAGGTCACGCCTCGGAAACCCAGACACGGTGACAGTAACAAGCTGTGGATGACCTCCTCGGACGAAAGTTGACCTGGCGAAAAAAAACCCTTCATATGCAAATGTGCGTACCGCGACGGTGACTATCCTTCTCGGTGGAGCTCCGACTGGGGCCACACGCTCCGTCTGGTGCCTCAGATGGGGTGATGGTGTAATGGGAAGGAGGCTGGGAATAAATGGTCGCATACCCCCGCAAATAGAACTCACACGGTGTACTGGCAAGACGGGCGCGCGTGCCTTCGGCCTCCGAGCCCACATGGGGGCGGGATGATGCTGCATAAACCTCTCCTGGAACCACCCCAAATGGCTCCCTTCAATGAGACGGACACGAGACGGTCCAAAAGGGCCTCGGCCAAAAAGCGTCTGGAGAAAATCGCATGGAAACTCTGGTGCTGGCCCGAGCAGACCAAATCAATGGAACATGATCGACAAATCGATGATTTTTGTTTTTTTTCCTTCGGTCACAGCGTCGAAGACAATCCATGAGGCTCCCAGGGTCGAGCCAAAACGGTCCAAAAGCCCCATGATGGGACCTTGCAATAGGCCCCCAAGACGGCGCAAAGAATTCGAAAACCCAAGGGCATTTCGAGCCATCCATCCCAAGATGACCCGGAGATTCCTTCAGATGCCCCCGACACGCCCTAAGGAGCCCCCCCACGACGCCCGCAAAAGGCCCCCAAGAGGCCCCCGAAAGGCTTCCAAAAGCCCGCAATATGCCCCCAAGAGCCCTCCAAACGGCCCCCGGGAGGCATCCCAATAGAGCCGAAGGTGCATCCAAGAGGCCTCCGACCCACAACCGAGGCAATCCCAGGAAGCCCTAAAAGGAGAAAACGGGCGATGGCTAGGTATCGGTACCATTTTCTCCTCTGAATCAACCCGAATCGGCCCAGTCATAACAGACATCGAATCGGATCGATCGGATCGAGATGGTCGGCTACACGCAAGAGTGATCCAGGGCAGGAGTGACCTTTGGTGCCCGACTTTAGGGGGGCGTGGGGGGGACAAACCCGAGCGCGCATGGCGCTGCTACCGCAGCGTATTCAGCAATCTGGGAACACCAAGGTGCCCGCACCAAAGGTCACTCTGGCGAAGGGTCACTCTTACGTCGGGGGCGTCCAGAAGGAGGGCGTCCAAGAGGGGGGGAGCGCAGATCGTGGCCGGCGGCACATTCGCGGCCCAATGGGGGACCGGGGACGTATTGAAATGAGAAGAGGCGCCGTGAAATCTGGGGAGATACCATGGCCCCTGCCATGATATCCCTAGGGCCACGAAAAATTACAGAAACATAGGAACTCGGAGGTCCGCGCGGATTCCTCGGATCTGCGCTGGACCCCCCTCCCTGGCGCGCGGAGCGCGCCAGGAGCGGCGCTGGAGGCGCCGCCGGGGGGCCCCAGCGCCGATCCGAGGAATCCGCGCGGACCTCCGAGTTTTCATGTTTGTGTCATTGTTCGTTCCCCTACTCGCGGCCCTCGCCATGATTATCCTTCCCCCCCGCCCCCTCTTGCCCGCCCCCGACTCTGAGGTGCAGTCGAGACGGGCCCTGCGCTTCCCGGTGCCGCGCGGCCTTGGGCGGCTGGTCGGCGTCCACCAGCTCGTGCCTCGGCGGGGGGGGGCACGGCGCGTCGCCCCCTCCTCCCCGCCGCGTGGGCTCGGGCGGCATCTCCTTTTTCCATTTCTTTCAGCCTCCCCCCCCTCCTCCTCCTCCTCCTCCTCCTCCTCCTCCTCCTCCTCCTCCTCCTTCTCCTCCCTCGGAGGCTGCCTTGCCAGCAAGGAGCACAGACAGCAGTCCCAAGTCAGCGTCTTACCTACCTACCCCTCGCCGCGCCGCACCTGGCCAGCGTTTTGTTTGCTTGGGAGGGGGCACCCCTTCCTGCGCGTCGTGACAGCGACATAGAATCTGTGACGCTCGTGAAACGAAGCCAGGACGAAGAACAAATCGAGAGCCCCTGAAATCCGGCGGCCCTGGAAGAAGTCTCGGGCGCCTGCGATGCTCGCGAGACGAAGCCAGGACGAGGATGACATTGGGTGAGGATAAATCGAGGAGCTTTGAGATCTGGCGGCTCTGGACGAGGGCTCGGGCGCAGCGGCCTTCTCAAAGCGTTCCGGCACGCTCTGGAGTGGATGCATTCTCGTCCTAGCCCCGCCCGACTTCATCATTTTGATGCTCCTTCGAGGGCTCGAAGTGCGGCGAGAAATGTCAGCAGGATGATGCGGATCACTTTAGTGCACAGAGCGCCTCATTTACATGGTATGGTAGGATCTGCGCGGGGGGTGCTAAGGGCCAAGGGGACATGAGGGTTATCAGTAGATGCCACGGTGAGTTATATCTGGCCTCCGCTAGCTCAAAAAAAGTTGCACATGCCCCAGATGGCTTAGGGGGGTTAGCGGTCCGGGCTAAGTGGTGCCCGCCCATTTAGCAACGGAATCTAGACCCCACGCCGCTTGGGGCATGTGTAGCCAACTCGAACGCCAGTTTAGACCAAACACAACACAGTTGGAATCCACTGATGACCCTAATCTTCCCTTAGCACGTGCGCGCGCGCGCGTGCGTGTGGGCGCGCGCGCGTGCGTGTGTGTGTGTGTGTGTGTGCATGTTTATGTGTGTGTATGTGTGTGCGATCTGGCCCGGCCGCGCGCGTTCTCCCGCTCGACTGCCTACGCAACGCCGCCACGCGCGTGACCGCGACGCCAAAAGTGTGTGTGTGTGTGTAAGTGCGTGTGTGTGTGTAAGTGCGTGTGTGTGTGTGTCGGTGTGTGTGTGTGTCTGTGTGCGTGTGTGTGTGTGTGTGTGTGTGTGTGTCTGTGTGAGTGTGTGTGTGCGTTTGTGTGCGTATGTGTGCGTGTGTGTTGTGTGGGTGGGCGTGTGTGCGTGCGTGTGCGTGTGATTGTGTGTGTGCGTGCGTGCGTGCGTGCGTGCAAGGGTGCGTGCGTGCGTGCGCGCACGCGTGCGTGCGTGCGTGCGTTTGTGTGTGTCTGTGTGTGGTGAATGTGCGTGCGTGCGTGCGTGCGTGCGTGTGTGTGTGTGTGTGCGCGCGTGCTTGTGTTTGTGTGTGCCGCCGCTGACGTAGTTTGTTTGTGCGTGCGTGCGTGCGTGCGTGCATGCGTGTGTGTGTGTGTGTGTGTGTGTGTGTGTGTGTGTCGTGTGTGTGTGTGCTTGTGTGTGCGCGCGTGCTTGTGTTTGTGTGCCGCCGCTGACGTAGTTTGCTTGTTTGTGCGTGCGTGCGTGCGAGCGTGCGTGTGCGCGTGTGTGTTGGATGTGTCCTCGCTAAGCACACTCGGCACCGTTTCCCCCCCGCAGTCACCACTCTCCCTGCCATTGCCTCCGACTCACCGGTCAACCTGCTGACGTCTTCGGCCGCGGGGCGATGTCGGCCCCGCCCCCTCTCCGCGCGTGGCCCTCCGCAAGGCTGCGCCGAGCCCGCCTCCAGGGCACCATCCCTCTTCATCCCTCCTCCTCCTCCTCCTCCTCCTCCTCCTCCTTTCCCTCCTCCTCCTCCTCTTCCTCCTCCTCCTCCTCCTCCTCCTCCTCCAACCCCGTCGAGGCCGCCCCCGCTCTGCCGTCCGGGACCCTCCAGGGCGCGCGGGGACGCTGCCTTTGCTCCTTCCCCTCGTTTTCATCTTCGGCAAGGGCTCGCTGGTTGAGCAGGAACCGACCGTCCCGGCATTCCTGTAGGCATACCACGTCATGTTCTTAGAACCCAAAAAATGCCCTAAGAGCAATAACGATGCTCTTAGAACCTAAGCCCTTTGCGCTGACATAAAACAGTCCCAGCCAGAAATGTTCTGAGAACAGTTCGTTGAAACCAGGAAGAGGCTCTTAGAACATTCTTTAGTCATTAGGCCCATTGGCGAGCCAGGACGCCTCGCCACCGCTTGAGATGTGCAAGCGACGTCGTCCGGTCGGCCAAGATCCCTCGGCGTCCGGGCGCCCCCGGCTGCCCAACCGTGTCACAAGACTTCTCCGCCGAGCTCCCGCGCTCCTGGGTCGACCAAGCGACGTGGTGCACGGTGGGGCACTGATCGGGGGGGGGGGACAGGCACAGGCGGGGAAGCATCGACCCGGAATCGGCGATGCATCGCCGATAGAGCCTTCGCACGTTCCTGAGCAAGAACAGGCTCTCGGGGCCCTGTCCGCGATGAACGGATGATTGGGGGCGCCCACCCCTTTATGTCCTCGGCGTGAGAGGGCGGGCTCAAACTGCCATGCGCGCGAAAAGCCTTCCGCACCCGAGTGGCGCAGTCGACATCTGGCGGGGCGTGCCCGGGTCGAGCGCGCGTAGCCGCGCGGTGCCCGCGAGAGTTGATGGGACCATGTTCCACCACCACTACCAGATGCAGGAGAGGGAGGAGGAGGAAGAGGAGGAGGAGGAGGAGGAGGAGGACCTCCTCATCCTCCCGCCTCCCCCGTCCTACACCTGATATGGTCATTAGCGGCGGTGGGGGCATTAGCCCATCAAGAGCGGCGCCGTCGCTCCCAGTCGGTCCCCAGACGCCCCCCCAGGGAGTCCAAACTGACATGTGCTTCGAGCCGCGGCCAGCCGTCGCGACGCAGGGGGGGGCCTGTCTCGCCCCCTCCAGCTAGCTGGAACCAGTGCAAGTCGAGGATCTTCTGACCCGGGTCCATCCAGACCAGGGTCAGTCAGGCCTTGCAGGATTCCGGGTGAATTGTACTGCAAATGTACTGCGCCAAAAAAACGTATTGCATTGTATTGCAAGTAATGCACTCTCCGCGAAAATCCAGCAATACATCTGCGCCCCAGTATGCCCCCGAATGTATTGCAACCCCACAAAAATCTATTGCACCATCCCATTGTCGCTGGACCCCATTTTGGGCCAACCCGAAGGATCCTGCAAGATCTTGCAGTATGGCGCAGGATCCTGCATCCAAGCCCGGGTCAATGCAATCCTGGCCCTGCAGGATCCTGCAAGGCCTGGCGTTCTGACTGACCCCCGTTGGCATTGACCCTACTCCTGAGCCCCGAGCGGGGCCGCCTCAGCCCCCCCCCGGCTGGCTCTGCGGTGATGGTACATGTCTCTGCGCTTCTCCTCTGAGCCCTCGAGCGGCCACGGCGGGGGTCCGACCAACGTGCCTTCGCCCTGCGCTGGGGGCGGGAGACCGCCCCACCCAAGGCAGCGGTCGGTTCTGCGGGGGGCAGCCAATGACCACTGCCACAAGCAGGGCCAGCAAGCCCCCACCCCACCCCACTGAAGGGGCCCAGGGACACAGGATTCCCAGTCTTTTCCCATATCTTCTGTTTTTGTTCGTATTTCCCCCCACGCTCACTATTTTCCCATCTCTCCTGGGAATCGACGATGTTAATCGTGTCTGTGTGTGTTCGTGTCCCCTCCTGGCCCACACCGAGGCCTCGAGGATTGTCCCTCCCTCCCCGCCGACGGAGCCTGCAGCCCGCAGGGTCAGCCCCGTCGGGCCCCGCTGGGCACGTGCGCTCGGACGACCGGGGGGCCCGCGGATCCTCCGCGGGGAACGCGGGCACGCCCCCGGGGGCGAGGCGCCGTCCCCGAGCTGGCCGTGGGGATGCAAGGCATGCAGTCGAGCTCTCGGGAGGCAGCTGCCGGGAGGTTTTCGTCGGAAGGGCTAAGGAGGATAATTAAACCCCCCTTGGGGGGCTGCTAAGCAGGAGTGGGCCTCGGATCGAGCGGGATGAAGCCAGATTGAGCGGGCTTATACGGGATTCAGCGGGACTCAGCCAGATCAAGACGGATCTCGGACCAGGGCAAACACAGAATTTGACCTCCCAGGAGTTGCATCCGAAGAGCTCGTTCATGGAGGACGCGCGGGAGGACTCGAGGACCCTTCCGAGGGCAGCGTGGCCTTTCCCCAGGACTGTAGCAGACATCAGACACCACACACACAGAACACTTCTGTTACAAGCGCGAAGGAGCCCTGTGGCGCGGGAGAGGGGGAGGGAGGGAGGGAGGCGCCAGGGGCGGCGCCGGAGGCGCCGCCGGGGGGCCCCAGCGCCAATCCGAGAAATCCGCGCGGATCTCCGAGTTTTTATGTCTATACCACTCTTTGTTCCCCGAGCAGAGGCCCTGCCCGAGGCCGTCCACGACGGCGGCCCCACCGCACACCGACCGCATCGACGGCGAAGCCGCAGAAACCGACCGAGCCGACGCGCGGCGAGCAGCCACGCAGGGCGCAGCAGGCCGAGGGACGGCACGAAACAGCGGACCGAAGCGCATCGACCGAGCGCGACCGACGGCGGCGCAGCCGAGCCGACCGCAGCGCGGGCACCGACTGAAGGGTAGGGTTTAGGCTTCGCCAAGTGCTCGACGAATTCCGAACCAAAACCCGCCGCCCATCGAGTTGCCTGGTTTCTTTCATCGGCGAGGGTGCCTCGGCCACGAACGTGTCCCCGAGACCAGGGTCTTGGGAGCAACCCCAACCTGACACCCCTGGAGGGGCCCTGGGACGCACAAACAAATACACACACACACACACACACATCAGCTTTCCCCATATGTTTCCCTATTTTCTAGGCTTTTGTCTTCCCCCCCACACTTCCCATAGTTTCCCATGTGTTCCTGGAGATCGACGATGAATTGTGTCCATGTGTGTTTTCCCCTCCTGACATTGGTGACACTCCGGTCGCCTGGTTTTCCTGGTAACATCCTGGGACCGGCGGCCGCTCGGGACGATCTAGAAGCCCCAAGAAAGCTTTCTGTGAGCCGCAGCTGCTGGACACATCCCGAGGCATGATAACCTCCAAGATCCTCCTCCCTCCTCCCTCTTCCCTCCACCTCCGCCACCCCGACCTGGGGCAGGGAGAGTTCTTACGTGAAACAGCCTTCCTGAGGAGAGGTTCCAGAATGAGTTCACCGTGAAACCAACTCCCGCGGGGAAAATCTCCGCTGGAAGGGATTCCCTGGTAAATGAAGCCGTCACTCCTCCTCCGCATCCTCCTTTCCCCCCTGCCCTTCCAAAACAAATCTTGGGTAACCAAAAGATGCCAACATCGCTTCTCCCCGTACCCCTCCAGGGCTTCGTTGCGGTGGCGACGATGGCCTCCCAGTAGGCCCAACAAGGGGAAAACGGACGACGGGGTAGAGGTATGGCCTTTTCCTCCTCGGACCTTACGCCCCCAATGACTTGGCAGGATCAGTCAGCATCGAATCGCTCATCGGATCAGATCGGATCGTGCGTCGGATCGGGGTCGGATTCTCGAATCGGACCGGCCGCGCCAGGATTGCACAACGGCGCCGTGGAGGCAGCCCGCCGCTCCGGACCGCGGGACCATCGAGAGCGACCTGGGACCGAGCTCAGCGAACTCGAGGCAGAATCGCATCGCTGCGATCAAAGTGGGCCGCAACCCCTCGATGCGATCGATGCGATCGATTCGATCCCATGCGATCGATGCGATGGACTCGAATCAAAGCGGATCGGTGCGATTTCGCCCGGCCCCGCTCGCGGCGATCCCGCCCTCGGGTGTGGCTGCAGGTGGTCCTGGTCCGATGCGTCCCCAACCTTTCGCGCTGCACTCTGGAGGCCGTGGGGCCGTCGGGGCCTCCTGAGGGGGGTGCTCCAGAAACCATCTGCGCCTTCCTGTTTGGACGCCCGAAATAGGCACGGAAAGAATGGGTACAATGCCCAACAACAAATGTTGTCCCAAACCAACAGCGGCCGCTGTTGGGCAGGCGGCCCTCTGTCTCGAATGGACACAGGCCGCGGCGGCGCGGACAGCGAGTCCTGTTCAAAATGAACCGGACCTGCTGTTCGGCAATGTACCCATTCTTTCCGTACCCATTTCGGGCGTCCAGATCCTGGGGAGGCCAGGCCGGGCTGCACCTCGGACCGGGGCCGCCTCAAGCAAGCGAACGTCTCCTTTTTCGGCGTCTTCGGCACCGGGCGGAAGCGGGGGGGGAGCGGGGGCCCGGGGGGGGGTCTGGCTCCGCACCTCTGCTCAGCGCGCCTGTTTGCAAAAGTGCGTCTCCAATGGGGGAGACCCCACCTGCGGGAAGCGGGCGCCAAAAATCAGCCGAGATCTGCTCCATGGGAGGGGGGGAGAGAGAGAGGGAGCGACGGCCCGCGCCGATCGGCAAAGCAACGAACAAGAAAACGATTTCCTTCGGACCAGGGCCACTTCAAGCAACACCCCCCTCGTCTTTTGTGGTCGCCGCCATCGTCTCTGCCTGGCGCTCTCCTGTTCCACAGCGGCGCCGATGGAAGAGCGCTCGAGGGGCAACGCGATGGGGGACCAGCACGGGGCAGGATACATTGAGCGTGATTCGGCGATTCATCGTCGCTGGATCGGCGATGGTCCCCCGATAGCGAATCAGCATGGTCCTGGGCTGGGTGGGCTGTCAAGCTCCCATCAGCGATTAGACGGCGGTTGGGGTCGATGCGCCCACCCACCCCTGATTCGGTGGCAGCTCATGGGAACCACCCGTACCACCTTAAGGCCATCGACGTCCGTTTCACAGCGTCCGTGCACCCGCTCGGCAAGGGTGCTGCTCCGCACTCCGCCGAATCGCAGTCGTTGCGATCTTGGACCGGTTCGAGGATGAGGAAATTGCCTAAACATAACATCTAGGAGATCCGCAGTAGCCCTGAGATCGGCGAAAATTGCAGAAGCAATAGCTCCCAGAGAAATGCACCCCAACCAAAAAAGACGCCTCTCCACCCAAGCCTCCCTACGCCGACGCCGAGGGTTGACTCCGAACCTCCAGGATCCTCACCTCCACAACGCAATCGCCTAAACATAATTGCTTGGATCTGAACTGGACCCCCCTTCCATGCGCGCGAAGCGCGCAAGGGGCGGCGCTGGAGGCGCCACCAGGGGGGAACAACGCCGATCCAAGAAATCCGCGCGATGGTCTCCGAACGCTTAATGTTTACGACATCATTGGATCCTCGAGTGATGGACACCTCCACCACGGCGATGCACAGCATCGGGGGCGAACTCGAAGTTGCCTTCGCTTCCCTCTTCCCCTGTGGCTTCTGCGAGCTCTTTGCAGCGAACGTCTGTGCGAAAGACCTTCTCGACGTCCCCGGCGTCGATGGCCCATCCTCGGCGCACTGCCTCCGAGACCATCACGGGGAGCCCAGCTTCCCCTTCCGACCCCCGTCCCCGGCTGGCGTCCCCGCTGGCGCCCGCGCTCGCGGCCTCATGGCGCTGGTCGCCGCGGTGACCGTCACGCCAGGGCGCGAGGAGTAGCACCTCGGCTCCGCCGCCGTCGCGGACCTTCGCCGTCGTTGTCGTCGTCGTGCTGTCGAAGTCTTCATCCTCTTCGTCGTCGTCGTGGTTCGTCGCCTTCGAAGTCCTTGCCCGCATCATCTTCGTATGCGTCGCCGCTGGACGTTTGGTACTCTGCTGGCACATGTTGGCCCCTGCTTGGGCCGTCCGGGAGGCTCCTCGTCGCCGGGGCCCGATTCCCCTGGAGAGATTGGTCAATGTCGCACCTCCTGGAGAGGGCTGGGGTCTGGTTCTGGTCCAGTCCTCCTCCCGATCCTCGTGTGTCGTCCCCTTCTTCCTCCTCCTTCCCCTCCCTCGCCCCGCTAAGAGGGGAGATGCCGAGAGAAAGCAAGGGGGGGGGACAGGGAAGAGGGCTGCTCATCGCTCTCGCTTCCCTTGTTACTTCTCCACCTCCTCCTCCTCCTGCTCCTCTCCTCCTCCTCCTCCTCCTCCTCCTCCTCATCATCATCATCATCACCATCACCACCACCACCACCACCACCACCATCATCATCATCATCATCATCATCATCATCATCATCATCATCATCATCATCAGCATCATCATCATCATCATCATCATCATCATCATCATCATCATCATCATCATCACCATCACCATCATCATCATCATCAGCATCATCAGCATCATCAGCATCATCATCATTATCATTATCATCAGCATCATCATCATCATCATCATCAGTATCATCATCATCACCACCATCATCATCATCACCATCATCATCATCATCATTATCATCAGCATCATCATCATGGTTATCATCCTCCTCATCAGCATCATCATTATTTTCATCGTGGGCATCATCATCGTCATTATCACCATCATCACTATCAGCATCATCAGTTTCATCATGAGCGGTATCAGCATCATCATAACCATTTCCAGTATGGGCAGCACCATCATCATCATCATCATCATCATCATCATCATAATCATCATCATACTTGTCATGATGGACAGTAGCACCAGCATCATCATCAGCATCAACACCATTGTCATCCTGGGCAGCATCATCATCATCATCAGCATCATCATCATCACCATCATCATCATCATCTCCAGCGCCGTCGAGAAAGATCATGCAAGCACGAAGCGGGGCAAGGGGAGGGGGACGCCCAGCCTGAACACCATGCGGTCGCACGAGGAATTGCGGCCGTACATCTCAGCCATGATCTGCGGCAACGTCCCGTCGCCAGAACAGGATACAGCAGAGGCGTTGAGCATGGAAGGATGATGCAAGGGACGAGGGACTGCTCACTGAGAAGACTGCGAAGGGTAGGGGGCCCAATCGAAGCCCTGATGCTCCGAACCAGTTCAAAGGAGACACCCTGAGCACAGGACGAGGAACACCGAAAACAGTAAACCCCATCTGATGCCGCAGGGTGCCCTCTCGTGGGCAATTTCGGCGTCGGGAGCACTCTAAGGATGCTTCACATCGTGAGCAATGAATGGTCATTCCTACGCACGCCGATCCAGCATTTGTTCGAACAAGGGCAGCACTGGGTCCAGACGGCGAGTACCGACGGACCGACACCGCTTGCTCTTCCTCATGCTTCTCCTCATGCTCCCTCGGGCTATTGCTGCGCCTGTCTTTCCTCCCGCCACTCCTCTTCGTCGTGCTCTTCTGCTCTTCTCGGATCGGCGCTGAACTCCCCTCCCTGGCGCGCGAAGCGCGCCAAGGGCGGCGCCAGAGGCGCCGCCAACGGGGGGCCAAACCTCAATCTGGGAAATCCGCGCGGCCCTCCCAAAATCTATGTTTATTCATGCTGTTATTCCTGGGCTCATGCTCCTCTTCCTTCTGCTCCGCTCCCGCATTCAGCTCTTCCTTCTGCTCCGCTCCCACCCTCCATCCTCCCCACTTGCCCTCCCAACTTGCAGAAGGATTCGCAACTCATGCTACTCTTCCTTCTGCTCCGCTCGTCCTCCCTCCGACTCAGCTCCTCCTTTCCACCCTCCACCCCCGCCACTTGCGCCCTCCCGGCTTGCAGGAGGAGTTTCGTGCGTCGACGCGGAGGGTGCTGGTAAAGAGCGGAGGTTGGTCGGAGCCATTCGTCAAGAGATCGGCGGCCCACGAAAAGGCCACAATCGGCACGAGAAAACTGACAGCGGGCGGCGATCTATCGGAGCACTCCCGTCCCCGTGTGACGAGAGCAGGGGGTATTATGGGGAGGCCGCAGCTGCGTCTCACTGTTGCGCCCCTGCTCTGTCTGCTTCCCGTGTTATCTGGTCTCGCTGGTCGCGAGCGTTTTCTCATTCGGCGCTTCGACATTGGGCGGAAAGGGGGCCACGGGGAGGGTGCCTGGCTCCGGACCTCTGCTTCATGCGCCTGCTTGCAAAAGTTCGCCCTATTGGGTGGACTCCACCTGCTCGAAACAGGCGCCGAGAACGGTCAAGACCTACTCCACGGGGGGAGGAGGGGAAGTGCCAGGGCCCGCGCCGCGCCGATCGGCAAAACAATGGGTAAGAAGACGATCACCTGCCCACCGAGACCACCCTGCGGGGACAAAGCTCCATCCGATGGGGAAGGGGTGACCGCCCCGCGGGGTCTAAACTCCGTCGGAGGGCACGGCGGGGGCCTGACGCTGTTCGTGGATGTCCACATGCTGTCGTGTGGCCGCAGATCGATCATATTCGCGTGCGTGTTTACGCGGGGCAGATCGGAGTTTATCCCTTGGATGAGGGTGAGGGGGGGGGGGGTGTCAATCTCCATATCCGAGACCTGGATGGGGTGTACTGAATCTGGTGGTTTCAACAACTGGGACTCTGACAAACCCTGCGAAGGGTCGAGGCTGCACTTAGCCTCAACATCGGGCTGGGAGACGTAAGATGCGAACTGTGGGGACTTGCCATTGCCTGACAAAGCGGTCACTCCCGCTGCAAACATCTCACCACAATAGGACCGTCAGACTTCCCGCAAGGACCTCCGAGCAACTGCGTCAAGCCTGAGGTCTGGCACATTGGAGTCTCACGTTTCCCAAACATTAGGCGCGTACGAGCATAAACCTGAATCTAAGACATATGCGGGCACTCCCCCTTTCAATGATTCTCCCCCCACCGCCGCGAGGCGCCATGGAACGCGCTCCCCCTCTTCCATGCTCATCCCTTCCTCATTGGCGTTCCTCACCCTCTCTCTCCTTACTCCTCGTTGTTTCTCCGTTTTGCTCCTCCTCCTGCTTCTCCTCCTCCTCATCCGCCTCCTCCTCCTCCTCATCATCATCATCATCATCATCTCCCCTCCCATACCATTGCTCTCCCTCCTTCTCAAACATCCCGTTCCTCACCCTTCTCTGTTCCTGCTGCTCCTCCAACTCCTCCCCCTCGCCGATCTCTTGCACCCCCGTCCAAAACTCATTCAGCATCGAATCAGGAAATTCCAAATAAATCGTTATGACGGTCGAATCAAAACGCATTGCAAACAAGCCGACATCGAATCAGACAGGCTGCGCCAGGATGCACAGCAGCGCCAGTAAAGCATCGGATAGCATCGCATCATATCGTCAGAAAATCGGAATCGAATCGGCTCGGACAGACAGGACCCGATATCGTACTAGAACGATCGGATTGAATTTGACTCTGCACCCTTCCTGGTAATGCGAGATGACGAATAATAGAACACCCTAGGGGATTCTGACAAATAATATCCGACTCTCGCTGGCGAATGTAAGACAACGGTTCAAACATGGCTCGAACATCTTCAATCCCAGAGAAAGTCAGCGCAATTGGATCCTGTTGGGATCCTCTTGGATTCGTGGTCAGATTGAACCCAATTCAAATCCAATTGGAACCCTATCATGGTTCCGATTCGTACCGTGGCACAACTCCTGATACTACATCCGCTAATCAGCTCCTCATGCAATTCATAGCGCAACATGTCCTACTACTACGGCTCCCATTGCAGATCTCAGCCAGCTCCATCTAAAGCTTCTGGAACAGCTCCCACGTAGCTCTTGTCACTACAGCAACTGCTACAGCTCACCCTGGACTGGAAAAAACGCTCTTCTACGACAGCACATGGTACAGCCCGACCACAGCTCGCTATGTTACGGATGTCACTCGGAGCCTATGCCATGTTCTACTACACTACCTGCTCTGTCTTCAGCTGCTCCCGACCGTCGATCTCCTATTACAGCTCATGGTAACTACAGATCCTATCCGTTCGCCATTGTAATTGTATCCCGCTGATGTTGACTCCCCTCCTATCTCCTTTAGCCCCTCCTCCTGCCCCTCCGCTTCTGCTCCGTCTGGCCCGTCGGCCGCCCAGACGCGCGCCCGAGGAAAGCTGGGGGGGAACGGTCCAAAAGAAATGTCCCAAGCCAAGCCCGCTTCTTCTGATTATCATCCTGGGCGCCACCGCGTGAACACGAGACTCGCTAATTTTTTCTTAGCCACCATCATGCATAAAGGCTTCGGGCTGCGCCAAGGTGGTCCCAGCTCGCCTCATCAGGCCCCCGAAGAGCCCAGGGCGGTGTCAACACCCCAACCCTGGGGCGCGGAAGACCGCCCCGGATGGAGCATCTACCAGCCACCCGGGCATTCCTCTGCAGCTACATCTTGAAGACGATCTCAACCAGAACAGTTCTAAGACCAGTTCGTGCAAACCACAAGCGGTTCTTAGAACATTTTTTGGTGGGCCTAAAGGCAAACCAGTACCTACTCGGGGGGCCTGTCGAGGCCAGCCAGAACTGCCTGGGGCGGGGGGGGAAGGGCTGTCTGCGCGTAGCCCGAAGCCTTACGAATCTTTCCCTCCTTCCCCTCATCCCTGTCCCGTCGGAGCGCAACGGGGCCTTGAACTCCCCGCCCCTGACCACGGTGAACGCGACCATGGCGTCCCTGAGGGGGGGTGGCAGAGGAGGACCAGCACGTCCGAGATCCAGGCATCTCGCCAAAAATGTCCCTGGCCCCTCGGCGGGGGCCCGAAGGCTCTCGAGGACCGCCCCGATCCAGCGCAGCCAACGTGAAGTGATGCATTATGACATCATGCGTTCATCCACGCCCGTGCGCACAAGTGCGCACTATAAACATTAACAAGGGATGGCGAACTTAGGCTTCGACAGAATTGTGAGCACCAACCAACTGTTTAGCCTGAGTTCCGAGAGCACCACCGTAAAACAATATACGGTGACACCATGCACGTTCCGCCTTGAACGCGAAAAACAAGTTCGAATGGCCATCTTAATTTCGAAATCCGAATCGTAAACGTTCGGCGACCCACTTGTATTCGAACGGCCCCACCATGAAATAATGCACGCACTGTCCTCATTGCTTGCGCGCGCAAGACAGCAACAAATACACCATAATAGTGTGACCCTCGAAAACCGATGGTGCAAACCCTGTGTTTCACTCGTAATCTGTGAGGCCTCGACGTGGAATAAAACATCGACGCACCATGTATTCCGCGCGCGCGTGCGAGCAATGAAACACAGGATTGCGAAACAGTGCCTATGTTTTTTTCCGGGTTGAGGGCCTCAGAATACGAGTGGGGCATTTCGTTTTCGCCATTCACTTTCGAAATTAAGATGGCAATTCGTTATGGGCTTTTGTATTGCGCACGGCAGATCGCACGCACGCGCGCGCACGAGCAATACAGACAACGAATGGTGCCGCAATGCACGACTCCACTCTCAAGCCCTCCGAATTCTAAACATGACCTGCCATGACCCGCCCTTCGTCCGTGAACCTGTTGCACACGCTTGCGGCGAATATGCAGGGCGCTGAGGCGAGCACCGAAAGTTGAACATGGCCCGTCTTGCATGCGTGAAATTGATGCAAACGTTTGAAACGAACCTGCGTAACTTTTTTATATAAAAAACGGACGAAGGACCCAACCATATGCAGGTGTGAGTACCGCAATTGTGATTCCCTTTTCCGGTGGTGATCCCTATGAGGCAACGAACCGTGCTAGGGATGTGCCGAAATGGGTGGCGTGGTACACGACGCGAGCGAAACGATTGATCTGAGTTCGGGGAGACGTAAGACCCGGGTACGGGGGACTCGGAAATCCCCGACGAGGTCGTCAAAAAAATGACGAGGCCGAGCCTGCATTTTGACGAGGCCTCCCGCTGCAGACATCCCACGAAACTCCTCCTCGTCAAAATCCGAGGCGCGGTCGTCAAAAAACGATGGCGAACCCGAGTCCTGGCAGACCCGGGTCTTGCGCTCCCCCGATGAGTACGTAGGGAGACTGAGCGCGGGTGAATCTGAGCGCGAGTGCGTCTGACTGTGAATGAATCCGCGCGCGAGCGAGTCTACGTGCATGAGTGCGAGTATGACACATGGTGCAATTGTATATGAATGGCAATGGTTTGAGAATGACTGCCTCCGAGTACTCGTGACGCTGGGCGTGGCCGCCGCAAGGGGCTTCCCCAGGACTCCCCGACGGCATCGCCCACGCGCCGCGACGCCACCGCGAGGATCGCGCCCGCTTCCTCCCCTTCTTGTATTCCCTCTTTGCCCGCGCACTCAAAAAAAACAAGGTTGCGCGCAGCGCAGCGCGGAGTCCCAGCGACGCGCGCAGGTCGCCCCGGAGGGGTCCCAGCGACGTGCGCGGGCTGTCCGCTGCGCGCAGCAAAACGAGCTAGCTGGCTGGCCGATACGGGCCAAGCTCTTGCCGCTGGGCACAGCGACGACGGGCGAGCGAGGCGCGGAACTCCGACGGGATCCGACGGACGTGTACTGGGTGGGGGAGACGCATGCGGACTGCGCCACGGGGACTTTCGGTGGAGCTCCCGATGGGGCCACGAAGCGTGTGAGGGGTGTGCCGAAATGGGTGTGCGGGACGCATGCGGGCACACCCACTGGGACCTTCGGTGGAACTCCCGATGGGGCCACGAAGCGTGTGAGGGGTGTGCCGAAATGGGTGTGCGGGACGCCTGCGGGCACACCCACTGGGACCTTCGGTGGAGCTCCTTATGGGGCCACGAAACGTGTGACGGGTGTGCCGGAATGGGTGTGCGGGACGCATGCGGGCACACCCGCTGGGACCTTCGGTGGAGCTCCCTATGGGGCCACGAAACGTGTGACGGGTGTGCCGAAATTGGTGTGCGGGACGCATGCGGGCACACCCACTGGGACCTTTGGTGGAGCTCCCGATGGGGCCACGAAGCGTGTGAGGGCGTGCCGAAATGGGTGTGCGGGACGCATGCGGGCACACCCACGGGGACCTTCGGTGGAGCTCCCGATGGGGCCACGAAACGTGTGAGGCGTGTGCCGAAATGGGTGTGCGGGACGCATGCGGGCACACCCACTGGGACCTTCGGTGGAACTCCCGATGGGGCCACGAAGCGTGTGAGGCGTGTGCCGAAATGGGTGTGCGGGACGCATGCGGGCACACCCACTGGGACCTTCGGTGGAGCTCCATATGGGGCCACGAAACGTGTGAGGTGTGTGCCGAACGAGGGAGGAAGAGGGGGAGGAGGCAGCGGGACGAGGAAGGAGGAGACGCGGGGCGCTGTCTCTTCAAAGCGAGGACCCAACACCAGGGGATGGTTGGGGAAAAAACCACACTTGAAAAGGACTCGCCTTCCATCCGTGAAGTTCTTGCAAACGTTCAGGACACATGTGCACGGCACTGGGGCGAGAAACACATGTCGAAACGGACCCGCCCTCCATCCGTAAAGGACTTGCAGCAATTAGTGACGAATGTGGGTGGCGATGAGGCGAGGGGCACGATGCGAAAAGACCCCGCCCTCAATCAACGAAACTCACACGGCGAATGCGCGCTGCGCTGAAGCGAGTATCTCGGATTCGAAAGGCCTACACTCCATCCGTGAAGCTCCTGCAATCTTCTAAGACTAGACGTGAATTTCCTGTGCATGTTTCGGGGTTCGTGAATGTTTTTGCGCGCTCGATGATCCAGGATGCGACTCCAGGGTCCTCGCCGAAAACAAAAACACACGTCCGAGCGATGCCAGGCTAGTGTGCGCGGCGCTGACACGAAAGAAGGGCACGCCATCCGTCCGCCAAGCAAATGCACAATCCCACCAGCCCTCTGGGCGCAGGTGGTCTAGAGCGTTTCCGTTTTCAACCTCCATCCTGTCCCTCCTCGGGAGGTTTACCTCCCCTCCTTCCCTGCGTCTGGACGGGCTCCCCCGCGAGGTGTCGGAGAGCCCTTTTCGGTCCAAGATGGTTCCAAGAGGGTTTCAGAGAGTGCGAGATGGCCTCCAAAATGGCCGAAGATAGCGGTAGCTGGCTCAAGATAGCCACCGACACGCACCCAAGAGGCCTCAAGACGGCCCCAAAACGGTTTCAAGTGCTGTCGAGGCCTCCGAGGACCCCCCCCAAGAGGCCAACATCCTTCAAACACCTAAGGCAAATCAATGGTGTGTGCATTCTCGCTTTTTCGCCTCCGATGGGTTCTTGAAGCCTCAAGATGGCCCCCAGACGGTCCAAGATAGTCCCACGAGGGGCCCGCGAGGGCCCCAAGACGGCACCAAGAGCGCCCAAAAGCGCTTCAAGAGCGGGCCAAAAAGGCCCCAAGATGGCATTTTTTACCCTCCGAAGGGGGCGATGGGAATCAGCACCCCCGTATATTTTTGAACGAAGCGGTCCAAGACAACCCCCAGAGGCCCCACTGGCATCCCAAAAGAGACCCAAGAAGGCCCCCACCCCCCCCAAACTAACCCCAAGAGGGCACCAAAACGCCCCCAAAGAACCCCAAGAGTGTTCCAAAAAGGCCCTAAGAGGACCTCAAGAGAGCCCCAAGAAAGAGCTCCAAGAGGGCCCCGAGAGGCCCCGAGAGGGCCCCAACAGAAGCCCAAGAGAACCCCAAGATGGCTCCAAGTTTCGAAACGCACGCGAGCTTAAAGTGTCAGTGCAACAGCCGTTACGAGTCATCGAAACACCTCTCACCCCTCATCGAAGCACCATCGTAGCTTGCACTGACTTCCATCTAAACGTCCATGCGGGGAGCTCTTTGTGATCCTTGCTGTCCCGAAGTCGGCTGCGCAACTGCATGCGACCTGCCGCCCCTGATTCACCGACTCCCCTGCTGATCGTTTCTGGATGTGCTGGTGGGGACTCTTTTTGCTCGCGAGCGCGCAGTGGTGCCAGGCGCCGTCATGAAATTGCCAGAACTAGTGGGGATACTTTCCCTCGGCAGGTAGAGTCGGCTCGGGCTACGAGCGAACCTAATTGCCGGCGCGCGCGCGGAGCTAAACAGGACCTGCCGCCGGGGGGAGCAGTTGCGCCAGGGCGGTGCTGCAGCCGCCGAAGCTGGGAACCAGCGCCGAGGGTGGGGAATGCAAGCTGCTGGGGCTGCCAGGAAGATGCAAACGTGCGGGTACCATGGGAGCTGAATCACCAGGTGCGTGAATTAAACCTTGTCGCCACGGGGCGCCGGAGGTCTGGGCTGGGACCAACAGAAGACACGCAGGTCGACCAACAAGGCTGAACCAATCCACGGCGGACCAGAATCCCATATGGCCAGCTGCTGGGGGGGTACATTTTTGTTCGCGAGCGACGCCGTCAAGAATAGCTGGAGGGGGTACTTTTCAGTCAGCGGCCGCAGGCGAGCGCGCCAGCGGCGAGTCCAGTAGAAGCGGGCCGCGCGACCACGAATTAGCCTAAAGCGACGGGGCGCAGCCACACCTAACGCGGGACAGAGCCTCACGCAGCACCTCGGCGGCGAACCGGCGAGTGGAAGGGGCTGGCGGTAAGCTGAAACAGTACTGCCAGGGTGCAGGTATGCAACGCGTCGGAAGCTGCAGGGCTGGTGTTTTTTTTTCCTCGCGGGCGCAAGCGAAAGCGCAGGCGCCGTGGTGAAAAGTCCGGGCCGCGGGCCGATCTAATTACACGCGCGGGCGAGGCAAACTAAGCGGGCGGGCTGCCTAAGCTGTCTGCGCAGACGGCGTGAGGGGTACGCGAAACGTCACGAATCTCACAACGCTTGTGCGCGGCGCTAGCGCGGGGCACAACATTTGACAAAGACCCGCCCTCCAGCCGTGGACGTCCTGCAGCCGTGTAAGACGAATAATGTGCACTGCACCGATGCAAAGAACAACATGGTGAACAGGGCCCTCCTTCCATCCGTGCAGCTCTTGGCCGCTTTCAATGCGACTGTGCGCGGCGCTTTGGCGTGACGAGTGTGCATGGCGGTGGGACGCGAGGCACATCTTGAAAAGGGCCCGCCCTCCATACGTGAAGATCTTGCAAGTTGTTGTCCCATGAATGTGCGCGGCACTATGTCGAGAACCACATTTGAAACTATTTGTTCCGAGGCTAGGGGCTAGGGGGTATCACTTTCAGGCGGAGGTGACATACTTTCCGCAGGAAGGGAGGTGGGTCGATAATTGGAAAGTAAGGTTAACCCCCCTTGGAGGCGCACGTCAGAAACAAGCATATAGCTCAAACCATTTGTAATACATCGTTGCCCATGCAGCTGGTGGTATGTCCTGAGAGCGCTCGAAAACGAGCATTCACTACAAGATTGATCAGCTCGCACGTCGCCACAGTAGAAGACGACGCAGACGATGTATACATATGTTTTGTGATGCCGAACATGTAGCCATTGTGCTGCCACTGCGCTGACAAGAAGAACGAAGAGGATGCTCTGGCCAACAGCGAGCCCGGGCCAAGAACGCGTCGCAGGGCGAAGATCTGAGGAACGGCCCGAGAGCCAGAGCTCCTCCTGAGGCCAGAGGAGGTCGCTACTACTTAGCCTCTTGGCTCTCTCGGAGCGGGCGAACTGGGTGGCGCGCAAGCAGGGGTGAGGGGTGGGCGGCCTTCTGAGATGGCGGGGGGGGACTCAGAAGGCAAAGGCACTGTGAGGTCCCCCCGCCCCAGCAAAACGCAGGCGGGAAAGGCCGCGTCGCTTCTGCCACCGCCTCGCCGTCGGTCCGGGATCGCGGCCACACCCTGGGCCGCCCGTACCGAGGATCACAGGATCCACGCTCCTGTTCGACCCTCGCCCCTCCCACCACCGCCGTGCCCTCCAGTCCCCCTCTTCCTCACCACCTCCCCCCTCCTGCTTCTTCCACCTCCCCCAATCTGCAAGCAGCTTCTGCGAGGTCTTCACAAAATCGACCAAGGGCGACATTCAGCCCAGTTGAAAGGCCATTGAACCGGTCTGCGTCGGGCTAAGCCCTGGATCAAGCTGGACTAAGCGGGCGGGATTAAGAGGGACTGTGGATTATGCCAGACTAGGTTGGTGTTCGACTACGCATGTGCCAGCGCCGATGCAGAGTTTAACGTCTCAGGATAGGCATCTCACCCTCTATCTCCCTCCCCCTGCTCCTGAGACATGCGAAACCCCTGTCGTCAGGATGCTCTCCTTGAAGGCAGAAGGGGGAGGAGAAGTGAGGAGGAATGGAAAGACTGAGGAAGAATAGAAGCACGTAGGAGGGGATTGGAGGATGAGGGAGGAGGAAGATGAGGATTCAACAGAAGGAGGACTCCTGGAGAACTGTGAAGCATTTTCGTCTGGACACCCCCCCCAAGACCAAGCATGGCAAGTGGGTCGTCCGCTGCCACGAGCAGGAAAGTGCAGTGCTGCACCAGATCAGTAGATGCCCATGGAGGCACTTAGAGAGTAACGCCGCATACAGCGACAACCTACGTCGGGCCGTTCTTCTACAGAATCGCCTCGTATATCCCCCAAGGCCTCACCCTCCTCCTCCCTTCCTCCGGAGGCCTGCACAAAAAAACGACTACCCCGATCCTGAAACCACCTCCTGCTCCTCCTCCTCGACTTCTTTCTCCGTCGCTTGCTTCTCCTCCGTCTCGCAGTGACAGCCCGCCTGACGTGTAGCCAGTTGGACTTGCAGACGAGCTCGCTGCTGTATGCATTCATCTTCCACTGAGGCGACGGAAGCCGGGGAAAGGCAATGGCCGGAGGATGGATAGCCCGGGCTGGGACAAACGCTGGCACTCGCATCGCGGTCGGAGTCGCCCACCGCAGAAGCGCAAAATCCCGCGGGCCATAGAAACAGTGCGTATCAGCTCGGCCACAGACCCGCTCGCCACCTGCAGAGTCTTCCTGATGCCCTCTGCTCCTGTGCTCGCAATTTCAAGAGTTCCAGTAAGGTGCAGCGTTGGCGCAAATGCCAACGTATGCCAGTCCTTGACGGATCACAGAACACACCTTGAATAGAAGGTCGCCGACGTTACTTGCGATACATCGTCTAGGGCTGTTGCAAGAAATTGGGCGCGCGCACACACAGACACACACACACACGAACACAATATCGTATCAATTCAGGCGAGCCACTATGCGTCAGGCCCGAAAGTCGAGGATACATCAGGTCCGGGAAACTAGAAAGGGGTAGTGTCGCCACGATGATATCATCATGTGAAGGCCTTTCACGCATTTGCAGGTATGCCTGAACACATTACTTACATCCACGTGCACCCTTACCTTCATGGAATACTCGGAGCGCAGCTGCTGTCTCCAAAGAGCATCGAACAATGCAATGACTATGCCACCATACAAGACAAGCAACAGAGCAGATCCCCACCCTTCAACTGGCCCCCTCCCCAGAGGACAGGTGGAGATAGATAGGCCATTTCTGATCCCCTTCCATACGCACCTCTCTTACGCGCCCGCGCTCGTGAACCCACAACTCTTGCCTTGCCACAACACGCCGTGAAGCACACCCACTCTCTGGGAGGGAAGCACCCGGGCACGGAGGCGAAGGGCTCACCTCTTCCTCTCCTCCTCCTCCTCCTCCTCCTCGTCCTCCTCCTCCTCCTCTTTCTCTTCCTCTTCCTCCTCCTCCTCCTCCCCCTCCTCCCCCCCTCCTCCTCCCCCTTCTCCCTCCCTCCGCCAATCCCCCTCTCCCCCAACTTCTCCCCGACTCCTCCTCTTGCTGCAGTCGCCGGCGACAGTGTGCCTCTGCCCCAAACGCCCTCCACCGAAAGCGGAGATAACAGTACCCGTCGGTCGGAAGGAGCGGGTAGAACTAGGAGGCAGGAGGGCGTTGGAAATAGATTAGGCTTCGGAACCCTGATTGAAGAGATCGGAAAAGGGAAAGGCAATCGACGGTTGAAGTAGGGAGGCGCCTAAATCAAGCAAGTAGACTGGGGTCTGGGAGTCCAGAAATACCTACTTTCAACGACCGACGGGGATCCGCCGACCCTGTCACCGTGTGCGAGGGCTTTGACTGCTAGAGTCGTCGTCTCCGTCAGGCGTCGTCTGCGTCGTCCCCTTTCCCTGCACCCTCCTCCAGCCTGTCAGCGAGAGAATAACCTCGCAAGGGAAGCCCTTTCCCTTTGATCCCTCCCCTGTGGGAAGGGGGGGCGGCCGAAACGGGTCCCGAGGGGGGGATCAGATACGCATCCCCCCTCTGGGGGTCCCGCTGCTGCAGAACTTACCAAAACAAGCCAAGAGTGCCCCAAAAGGCTCCCGAGACGGTCCAAGAGGGCCCCCAATCGCCAAACGATCGGTCCAAAACGCACTCACGCCCCCAAGCTGCCCAGGAGACCTCCAGGACGCTCCAAAGGGCCACTGCAGGCAAACATCAATTATCCCCCCCACGGTTTTGACGGATTTGGGCGTTCTCGCCTTTTCGGCTTCCCGCCGCTCTAAGACAGCCGACGAGGCCTTCCAGATCGCCCCAAAACGGCCCACGAGGCTTCCAAAAACGCTCATAAACGTCCCAAGAAAACCCCAAGACAGCCCAAAACGCCTCCAGGACGGCCCAAGAGGCCCCCAACACGGATCCAAGAGCGTAGCTTGACGGGGGATCCGAACGGACATTTCGAGCCCTCGGCTTCGAACAGCTCCCATGAGGCCCCAAGACTTCCCCAAGGGGCCTCAAGAAACCTCAAAAGCTCCCAACACCCGAAAAAAACTCAAGAGGTTCCCAAGAGGCTCCCAAGAGACCCAAGAATTCCTCCCCAGAGGCCCCTAAGAGCCATCCCAATAACCCCAAGAAGTATCCCTGAGGACCCGGGCCCACTTCAGCGTCGTCGGCGTCGCCGCCACCACCGCCCCCGTCGTCGACGTCCCCCTTCAGGGTCGCCGGCCGTAAGACCGCCGCAATCTAGAAAAACATATTTTCTACGACCGACGGGCAAAAGGCCAACAATTCACATATGCAGGGTCGGCTGCCGGGGACCTCGAGACCCCCGTCGGTGCACGGCTACCGCGCGACCAGGTCCGAAACCGGGCCATCGAGCGCACATCTGGTAGGAGAAGGAGGAGGAAGCGGAGGAGGAGGAGGAGGAGGAGGAGGACGAAGGGGAGAAGGAGAAGGAGGAGGAGGAGGAGGAGGTTCCGAAGAGGTTCCCCCAGCCGCGATGGCTGTCTCTCCGCCGCGCATCGCCCGCGGCGGCCGCCCCGCGCGGACCGCGCACGGGCCGCGGCTCGAGTGGGCCGCGCCCCTGGGGGCCGCCCACCTCTCAACGCGCGTCTTGCGGAGGCGCGTGGGGCCTTGGGGCCGAACGCGCCCTCGGTGTAGGACACGGTCCACCCCCGCAGTCCTCAGCACCCCACCCTGCACGACATGCCTTCCAGGGAAGGTGGCAGTAGCTGAGTCGACCAGTCTAGCCCCGCTGCGCGTCGTGCTGGTTGCAGTGGTGCTGATGTCGACGTGCTGGTCACGATGGTGCTGCTGCCGTGGGTGCTGCACGTCGTGCTGGTCGATGTTGCGCTGCTGCTCTCCGTTGCGTTGCTGGCTAGTTGCCGCGCCGAGGAGTCGTAACACACATCTCCTCCTTCTCTCTCGTCGCTCTCCACTGCTGTCGCTGGGGCTGGCGGTGGTGTTGGAGTCTCGTCCCAGCTCGCGACTGCACTGCACCCCGCAACGGCATCGTCTTGCTGGGTTGGAGCAGTCCGCCCTGCGCGGGCAGCGCACGGGCCGCGGCTCGGCTCGGGTGGGCCGCGCCCCTGGGGGCCGCCAACCTATCCGCGCGTCTTTCGGAAGCGCGTGGGGTCTTGGGGCCGGGCACGCCCTCTGCGATGGACGCGGTCCACCCCCGAGATCCTCAGCATCTCGTGCAGCGTCCCAAGCACGCGCGTGCTGGGCACCCTGCACGACATGCCGTCCAGGGAAGGTGGCAGTAGCTGCATCGTCCATGCCAGTCACACTGCTCGTCGTGCTGGTCACAAAGGTGCTGCCGTCGGCGTGCTGGTCACGGTGGTGCTGCTGCCGCGGGTGCTGCGCGTCGTGCTGGTCGATGTTGCGCTGCTGCTCTCAGTTGCGTTGCTGGCTAGTCGCCGCGCTGAGGAGTCGTTGTGCCCATCTCTTTCTCCCCCCTCGTAGATTATCTGCCGTCGCTGGGGCTGGAGGTGGTGCTGGGGTCTCGTCCCTCTCAGCGACGGCACTGCATCGGCTGCGTGGCTCGTGTTGCTGGGTTGGAGCAGCCAGGTTCAGCGGGCGAGGGCCTTGAAATGTATCTCATCGCTGACTTCCCCCAACTGCCCCCGCATGTGGACGCAGGGAGTGCTCGTCCTCCCCCTCCACACCGATGCTCGCAGCAGGTTGTGTCCTGGGAGTGCTGCTGGTGCTGGTGCTGGACGCAACGTCGTGCTGCTGCTGGTGCTCCATGTCGCCGTGCTGCTGTACTGGTTGCTGTCCATCTGTGTGTGTGTCGGGCTGGGCGTCGTCACTAGGCATGCCAGTGCTGTGTCCGTCGCTGCCGTCGGGTTGGTTGAGGGTGCTGGGCTCGTGTGCTGCGATGTCGAGCTAACGTTGCAGCCTGTATCTGAGGCTGTTGTACCCAGGGCGTCCTTTGCATTCCGTACGCATCTCTTCCGAGATATACTCCGTAGTAGTGGCGCCACATTGCCTGCAGACCCAGCGCGCCACTGCTCCTATGAAGATGAGTGGGTGGCTGTGGTGTGCAGTGTGGCCGTGCTGAGTGATGGAGTGTCCTTTGCTCGGTGGTGGTCCAGCGCAGCCCTGTTGGAACCAATTTTGTATCCCTTCGAAGCTGGTGTCCCGTCCAACGTCGGTCTATGGCGTCGACTCTGGCGGCGGCGATGCGGCGTCGTATCAGTGCTGCCGTAGCCATGACATTTGGGCGTCGCCGATGTCGTGTTCGTGGGCTGCTTTCTCTGCGAGCTTGTCCACCTGGCGGTTGCCGTACAACGCGTGGAGGGAAAACCCTCGTTCTTGTGCTTCCTCCCAAGTGAGGTGGAGGAGGAGGAGGAGGAGGAGGAGGAAAGGAGGAGAAGAAAGGGCAAAGGACAACGGTGGCGGTCTTGGTGCCTTTCCCACCTCGCATCCGACTTTGGGGAGCCGGGCGGCGCCTCCGACGCCTCGTACACCTTGCAGATGAAGGCCACCGGCTCGGGGCGGACGGGGTCCTGCCCGCGCAGGCAAGGCCCCAGGCCCTCTCTCCGCGGCCACAGCCCGCGAGTGCCAAACCACGGGGTCGGGGCCTCCTCCTCCCTTTTCCTCTTCGTCCTCCTCCTCCTCGCTCCTCCTTCGTTTCCTCCTCCTCCTCCTCCTCCTCCTCCTCCCTTTATCTCCTCCTCCTCCTCCTCCTCCTCCTCCTCCTCCTCCTTCTGCTTCACCTCCTCCTCCTCGCTCCTCCTCGCTCCTCCTCTCTCCTCCTCTTCCTTCTCCTCCTCCTCCTCCTCCTCCTCCTCCTCCTCTCTCCTCCTGCTCCTTCTCCTCCTCCTCCTCCTCTCTCCTCCTCGCCTCCTCTTCCTCCTCCTCCTTCCTCCTCCTCCTCCTCCTTCTTTTCCTCGCTCGCTCCTTCTCCTCCTCCTCTTCCTCCTCTTCATCCTCCGCCTCCCCCTCCTCCTCCTGCTCCTCCTCCTCCTCCTCCTCCTCCTCCTCCCTCCTCCTCCCGTTCCTCCTTCTCCTTCTCCTTATCCTTCTCCTTCTCGTCTTCCTGTTCCTTCTCCTTCTCCTCGTCCTCTTCCTCCTCCTCCTCCCGCTCCTCCTTCTCGCTCCTCGCTCCTCGCTCCTCGCTCTTCTCCGCTCTCTCCTCCTCCTCCTCGCTCTCCTCCTCCTCCCTCCCTCCTCCTCCTAATCATCCTCCTCCTCCCTCCTCCTCTCCTCTCCTCCTCCTCCGCCTCCTCCTCCCTCTCCTCCTCCTCCTCCTCCCTCGTCCTCCTCTCTCCTCCTCCTCCTCCTTCTCTCCTCCTCCTCCTCCTCATCCTCCTCCCTCCTCCTCTCCTCGTCCTATTCCTCCTCTTCTCCTCCTCCTCCCTCCTTTTCCTCCTCCTCCTCCTCCTCCTCCTCCTCCTCCTCCTCCTCCTCCTCCTCCTCCTCTCTCCTCTTCCTCCACCTCCTTCTCTCCTCTTTCTCCTCCTCCTCCGCCTCCTCCTCCTACAACTTCCCTCCACCCCCCCTCTCTCGGCCTCCATCTAACTCCAAGCTGGGCTGTCGAAGGCGGGCTGGTGGACCACGACGACGTGCTGCGCGCGCAGTCGGTGGAGCAGGCCGGTGCTGAGGCCGCCGCTGGGCAGCTCGCCGCAGGCATGGGCGAGGAGAGGGCCGATCAGCAGGTCGACCTGGACGCGGCCACCCCCCTCCCAGCGGAACCCCTCGCGCCCGCGCAGGCGCGCAGAGAGGATGGGCCGGCATCTCCCGGGCCACAGGCAGGAGTGCTGCACTTCGGCTCTAGCTGGAGCGGCCTGTTCACGGCGGCGACGCGTGCGCGCGGCCATGCCCTGCTCCAGTGCGATGTGCTCCAGGCGCCTGGAGAGGTCCTCGTCTTCTGTCTGCGATGTGGGGGGACGTGGTCAGGGGGCCCGCCAGGGGAGCTGCTGCGCGGGTGCTGCGCTGGGCGGCGCTCCAGCGCTGGCAAAGAGCAGCTCCGCCTGATCTCTCAGGACCGGTGGCCCCACGACCGCCCCCAGCGGCAGCACCACCGGCTGCAGCCGCGGCCGCAGGCCTTGGAGGAGGATGCGGCCAGCGGCCTGCTTCGCCAGGGGGAGGCTAGCCCCAGCATCAGCCGCGGGGAGGCGCCGCCCGATGCGGGAGCCGAGGAGTTGCGCCCGCAGGGCCCACAGGGGGAGGGCAGGGCGGCCGTGCTGGCGTGCTTCGGGCTTGAAGAGCGCGACCTACCAGGGGTATGCGCGCCGCAGCGGCGAAGGCGACTCCGAGATGGCATCAGACTTCTCCGACGAGGAGGCGGGCTGGGGCAGCTAGGGGCGGCTGCTGGGCGTCCTCCTCGTCAGCATGTTCGTCTCGATCCTCTTCTGAGGGCCGCCCGCTTGCGGGCCGCACCCATTCCCCCATTCCATTCCTCTCGCCCTCTCCCCCCCTCCCCTTGCTCCCCCCCCTCTCCCTCTCCTGGCCCCCCCCCCATGGGTCCATTCCGGGCCAGGCCGGGCGGGGTGGTTCTGGGGCTGGGCCGAGGGGGTTGGCCCCCCTCCAGGCACGCAATCCTGCAGTCTCGCCGCGTCCCGATCCCTCGCGAGCCCCCCGCGCCCCCTTGCATCGGGGCCCGCTGTCGGATCTGGGTCCGCGGACGGCCCCAGGCTCCGCGTACCTGCCCTCCTTCTGCTCGCCCCCCAGCGTGGTCCGAAGCCGCTCTGGATCAGTCCCCCCGTTCGGACTACGAACGTACCAGACTTGCCTCATGCCTGGAAGGTCGACGACGCCCCCGCTGCGAAGCAGAACCGCCTGGAGGGGGCCCCCAAACAAGCCGGCCTCGACTTCTGGATGGCGCTGCGTGAGTCGTTCTGGCTGGCTCTTCGGGCCGCCGCCACAGCAGCGGAACGCATCAATCCTCCTCCAGGCGCTCCGTGCGCTGAAACGGTCTACAACCCCACTCGGTGTGAAGCACCAGTGGGGCAAGCGCACGCCCCAGGAACAAGAGGCGTGGGCCCTCGCAGAGGTCGCACGTGGCCCCCCTCCCGGCCAGGCGGTCCTCTGGCCGCACTGGCAGACCGCTCCGCAGAAGGAAGTGCGGCGGGCCCCCCCGATCATGGCCAGCAGGAACACTCGGAGAGCGCCTGCTGCAGCACGTGCTGGGCAGGGCGACGCGCCAGGCAGGCCGACCAGGGAACAACGGCCCCCTCCGATCCAGCCAGCGGACCTCCCACGCCCGGTCCGCACACGGTCTCCTTTGTAGAGGAGGCGCCCTGAAGGCGTGGCGCGACCACTCCCCAGCGGCCCCTGCGAGAAAACCCAACGCCCTTCAAAGGGTCGGCCCTCCACACCACGTCGCCCGGGCACCATTACCCAGTGGGAGGCGGGCCTCGCAACGGGCCCGCCGCTCCACCAGACCCCGGCCCTGCCCTTGCGGCTCCTTCCAGAAGGGGGATCTATACTATATGGCATCTTCGTTCGCGCCCACTCGGTCCCAGGCCCCTCGCGGGCCCGTGCGTCCCTCGCCCTGCTCGGCGCCTGGTCCCTCCCCGACTGGCCCGCGTGGCGTGCTGGCCACGGGGAAGGCACCCTGCTGCAGCGCAAGGAGGCCATCCGCACTGGGCTAGCGAGTCGGCGTGGGTCTCTGCTCCGTGCCCGCTTGTCGTCCCAGAGGCGCGCGCTGCCCCTCCTCTGCAGCTGGGGCCGGTGCCGCGACCAGACCTGCTATCTCAAACCGTGGGGGCCCTCACCGCTCTGGAGGTCGTGCTGGCGGCCCAACGGTCCCTCAGCCGTCTGAGGTGCCGGCTCCCAGTGATGTGCCACCACGCGGGGGCGGGCTCGATCGCGGGCGCGGAGGCAGGTGTGCATATGCTACCAGGGCCACTTTCATAGCCCTCTCCTCCACGCTCTCGGCAACTGCAAACATAAGCAGGCCGGCAAGGGCGCCTCCTGGGCTTCGCGGGGCCCTCCCGCGAAAGGGTCCCGCGAAGCCGCGGCCTAGGCCATTCGTAGTGTCGCCCCCGGCGAGCCAGGCCACTCGCAGGCGGCGTCCCTGGCGCGGGCGCTCGACGAGGCGGCGGCAGCCCTCCGGGGCGCGGGTCACTAAAAATCTCCTGGGCCTTCCTCCTGGGCCCCCGTCCTGCCCTCCATGCCCCCGGCGATGAGTCGAGGAGGAAATCACGGCATACCTCGTCCTTTCGTGGGCCCGCGCGGATATCACAAGTCGGCGCCGAGCCCTGCTGGCGGCGCCTCTGGCGCCGCCCCTGGCGCGCTCCGCGCGCTGGGGTCCAGCGCCGATCCAGGAAATCCGCGCGGACCTCTGGCAGCTCTGGTGTATCGTTGCTTACGTCCTCGACAACGTGCTGGGCGGCCTTGGGATAGGCATGGTTCGGGCGTGGCCCAGGTTTGGGGCGCCTTCTCGCCCCCCCTCCCCGGGATGGCTCCCTCCTCTTCTCCACTGCGGGAGTCTCGCACTTGTGTCCCCTCGCCGTGCGCTGGCAAGTGCAGCGGTGGGGGAGCCAGGCAGGGCCCCAAGCGCCGGAGGCCCCCGCTTTGCACCTCCCCCATCCGGGCGGCCAAGCGGCGCCGCTCGTCTGGCCGCGAACCGCTCCTCCAGCCGCTAACCAGGTGCTGGTTGCAGCAGAGACATGAGCCCCCCCTGGTCGCTGCAGGGTCGCCAACGTTCGCCGCCAGGCTCGCGGCGCCCTGCTGAAAGAAGCCTACGCCCGAAAGCTTCGCATGCCACCCCGCCGGGGGGCTCCATCCATCCATCCATCCATCCTCGCTCCTCCTCCTCGTCCTCCTCCTCCTCCTCCTCCTCGTTCTCCCTCCTCATCCTCGTCCTTCTCCTCGTCCTCGTCCTCCTCCCCCTCCTCCTCCTCCTCCTCCTCCTCCTCATCATCATCATCATCATCCTCCGCGCTCCTCCTACCCTCCTCCTCCTCGCTCCTCCTCGCTCCTCCTCCCCTCCTCCTCCTCGCTCCTCCTCGTTCCTTCTCCCCTCCTACTCCTCCTCCTCCTCATCCTCCTCCTCCTGCTCCTGCTCCTCCTCCTCTTTCCCCACTTCTTCCTCGCCCTCCTCCTCCTCCTCCTATTATTCCTCCTCCTCCCCCTCCTCCTCCTCCTCCACCTCCTCTTCCTCCTCGCTCCTCTTCCTCCTCCTCCTCCTCCTCCTTCCTCTCTTCCCTCCTCTCCCCCTTTCTCTCCCTCCCGAAAGTGTTCCCCCAAGGCATTCCACCACGGCTGGAGGATTACATGGTCCAATGGCTTCGCCAGACTGCGGCCCGACGTTTGGCCGCATGGGCGATTCCAAAAAGCAGTGGGCGGCGCTGATTCGCCGTAGGCGTCTTCGATGTCGAACCTTGGAATCCAGACTTCCTGAAGCGGATCCGAGCAGATCGAGGCCACCCATGGCGACAGCACAACTGAGCATCGGCCGAGCCTCAGAGGAGGAACACACAGAAAGATACCGCAGCACTTCCCTCGACACCACGGCTGGGGTCGCCTCGAATTCTTGGTCATAAAGCACCTCAGGAGAGGTCCGCGGAGTGGTGCTCTGGATCTGTGTGTGTTCCCCGAGGCCTGACAGCGAAACCGGCACCCACCGCAACCAGCATGCCGCCAGCAGCCCCGAAGAGCGCGGCGGCGCAGCACCAACGACGCAAGGAGCCGACCGTTGTGGATCGACCGAGCGCAGCCGACTGCGACGCAGACGACCCGACCGAATCGCGGCACCCCTGCAAATTGGGTCGGATCGGGGATCTTCTGACCCAGGTCAATCCAAACCCGGGTCAGCAGGAAACCAACAACTGCAATGCAAGAAAAAAGCACTGCAACGCAGATCGTCGCAAACCCGGGTCAGCCAATATGCGCGGCAGCCTCGCGGCCACGAGCGGCTCGGGCCAGCCAGAGAGGGTCTTCGCAGGATCCTGAAAGATCCGGTGCCCTGTCTGACCCCCGTCTGCATTGACCCCCATCTCAAGGCTCCCGATCGGGCCGATCGGAACATCGTGTTGCATCGCTGGTGCAGCGGTGATGCGGCTCGATTCGGAGCGAGATGTTACCCATCCCGATGCATCGCCGATGCAACGCGACTTCATCGGCAGGGCAGCGCGATTCCTCCGACGCTATCTTCTTAGATGCAGTGCGGACGCGGCCGCAACAAAAACTCTCGCAAGGCGCGCGAGACGCGCTCGGCACCCCCAGGTCGCCCTGAACGCGGCAGCTGCTTCAGCGGCAGCGGGTCTCAGTAGGCTCGGGAGTCACCTAGCCTTCTGAGAAGTGCCCTAAGCCATCCCCGAAGACACGAAAAACTTCTCAGAAGGCGGGAGAGGCCTTCTCAGAAGTCGCGCCGCCTTCTGAGAGGGCCTTCTCCTTCTCACTTGCCCCCCTCGCTCACCGCCGACCACTGTGCAGTGAAGGGCCAATACACAAGAAACCGTCCACAAGAAACCCAACCCCGAGACCCCAGGACGTCCATGGATTTTTGGTGTGGGAAGGTCGCGCTCCCCATCGCAAAACATCCCCCCAAAAAACAGTCAAAACCCAAGGCACCCTGGAGGCAAGCAGGGTGCTTCTTGGCACGGGCCTCCACTCGCCAACCTCCGGCCACTGCATTAGGATGCTGCTAGAAGTGCCCCTGGCCCAGGGTGCCCCCAGCTCTTCGCTCTAGATCTTGAGGCCCCTGGGGCCCTCTGGGCCTCGAGAGGGGTGATCCGGAGGCCGTGGGGAGCCGCCTTGGAAATCCTGGGAAATCCTAGGGGCAGCCTTGGGCCAGGAGGAGGAGGAGGGGGAGGAGGGGGAGGAGGAGGAGGAGGAGGAGGAGGAGGAGGAGGAGGAGGAGGAGGAGGAGGAGGAGGAGGAGGAGGAGGAGGAGGAGGAGGAGGAGAGGAGAGAGGAGAGGAGGGGAGAGAGAGGAGGAGGAGGAGGAGGAGGAGGAGGAGGAGGAGGAGGAGGAGGAGGAGGAGGAGGAGGAGGAGGAGGAGAAGGAGGAGCCGCCCACGGGCCAGCCAGGGCCCCAGACGGGGGGCGGGCGGCCGAGCCGGCCACCGGACAGGGGCACGGAGCGGGAGGACACGCGGCGTTGTGCCACAGCGGCTCTCCGTGCGCGGAGTTTCCGGGGGGCCGAGCTTGGGCGTGGCTTAATGGGGGGGTCACAAATGGGTGGGTCAGAAACGGTCCCCTTTCGTGCCCCTTTCGGGCCCCTCCAGAGCCTCAAGGGGCTCGTTTAGGTACCATTTGGGTACCTTTTCGGACCACCCTCGCCACCCCCCCATTTATGACCCCCCCATTACGCGACGCCCAACGAGCCCCAGAAAGCAAGCCTCCGGTCGGGCGTGTCCTCCCACGGGTGGGTTGCAGACGGGAAATAGCAAATACTCCAGACATGCGAACAAAGAAAGTCACAAGCAGCCAACATATCGTCTCCAGACCATGTTTCTTTTATATGTGTTCGACGATTCCTCATGTGGATGGACGCGCCCGACTTAGCGCAAGCGCTGCAGCCGCACCGCACGCGCAACGATCTGGAGGCCGCGCGCCGCAGAGGCCCCTTCTTTGCCCTGGGGCCGCTCCTGCGCGCAGCCGCACGGGAGGGTCCCACGGGCCGCCGCCCGCGCCGGCAGCCCCAGACAGGGTCGGCGGATCGACGTACAGCGTGGAGTCACACAACGATGCAACGAATCGAACCAAACAGTCGATCATCCACACGGAACGCACCGCAACTGAACAGCAGGAGACACGCAGACTGATTGCTGCAGCTCCCGAGCATGATCCAAGGTGGCCCGTCGCAGAGCACGGCTCCACGAACGATCTGGTGGATAACTGAATGCCTGCCGCCTGGGAGGGCGGGCCCGCCCGATGGGGGCGCGCGGCGGCGGCGGCGGACTCCGCGCCGCCTGCGGAGGACAGGCGGCGTTGTGCCTTCTCGCCGTTGCGCCTGCCGGGGGGCTCTGAAATCCTCCAGGCGGCTCCGGAATGAGCCTACAGGGGCCCTGGGAGGGGCCGGCGCATATTCCAAGAGGGCCCCACGAACGACCAAGGGCAAAGGCGCCCCACGAGGGCCTCAAGGGGCAACTTTGGGGGCTCCTGGGGGTGAGCGCTAATCAACGACCCCGCCGTCTTCGACCGATGCCTTCGAAAATGGCCACAAGATGGCCTCCAAGGTTTCCAAGAGGGTCCCCAAGCCCAAAGGCTTCCAAAATGGCTCCACGATGGCCCCGAAAGCGTTGAAGAGCGTCCAAAAGAACGCCCCAAAACAGTCACAAGTGGTGGCTGCTTACGACCGAGAGAGGCAGACCTATGGGGGTGATAGAGCGATCACCTCGACTGTGAGAGGGCCCGCGAGGCTCCCAATCGGATCTCACCAGACATGACGGATGGCTCTACAAAGCTTCCAGCCAAGTGGTGGCTGCTTACGGCCGAGAAAGGCAGACCTATTAGGGGTGATACAGCGATAACCTCCGAGATGGGTGTGAGAGGGCCCCCGAGGCTCCCAAGATGATCTGCACCAAGGCGGCTCCAAAGAGCCACGGAACCTCCCGGTGAGGCCCCGAGTTCCGACCTTTTCCCTGGTCGATGCAGGTCGCATGGGCCTTCGCATGGGCATCGTTGGTGAATGGGTTGGTGTGGGTGTTTCTGGTCGCGGCCGCAAGCGAAGGCGCAGGCGGCGTCCGAAAACAGCACGGGCTACGAGCCAAACCTAATGACCTAAGCGCGAGAACTAAGGGCCACCGGAACTGCCGCCGAATGACGCGGAGGAGCGCCGCCGGGGACTGAAGGCAGAGCAGCAGGAGGAGCCAGGTGTGCCAGGCGGCTGAAGTGCAACCGTTCCAAGGGCGAGACCACCGGGAAGGCAAACGAATTGAAGCTTGTCGCGCCAGGAGCCAGAGGTAAACGAGCCACCCGAGCTAAGCACGGCATAGCGTGGGGCTGAGCAAGCAGCCCAGCGCACCTGTTTCGCATGCCAACAATGGCAACCTCAGGTGGTTGAGCAAGAAGGCTAGAACCACTCATGAGCAATCCACGTGAGAATGCACCCACCATTGCAAGGGCTGGTGTGGATACGCGAAGCGTCCAAACTCTGGATGAAGACAAATCGGGGATCTCTGAGAGCCAGTGGGTCTGCAAGAAGCAGTGGGTGCCGCGGCCGTTCCCAAAGCGCTGTGGAACGCTCCAGTAGCGTCCCGAAGCGCTCTGGGACCATTCTGCCTCATCCCAAGCCTACATGAAACAAACTTACGCTTCATCCCCTGTGATCCGACGTTGCGAAAGACTAGCCGCATCGTGAAGGGACACGGCAGGCGCCCTATACCCCAAGTATCGCTACGCGGCACTTCTCTAGACGGACCGATTTGTGGTCCCAGGGACCGAAACTGGGAGAATCTGTTTTTTCGGCGGCGAGGCGGGACAATCCGCTCCAGCGTGGCAGCGATGCAGGGGCACTACAAAGCGAGTGGGCCGGCATGCAGGACGAGGGGGAAGGACAAGGGGGCCCAACAAACAAAACTGGGCGGACACGCCCCGCGAAACAACAACATCAACGCCCCCGATACCGCAAGGTGCTCCGCCGTTCCTCTCTGAGAACCCCGGGGGCCCGAAGGTGGAGGGCCCAGGGGAGGCCAAGACAGCGGAAGACCTCGGGGCCCGCGTCTTCACTGGGGGTCCCCGTGCTTCTCCGCGGACCTTCTCCTCCCTCGTTGGGGGGGGGCTCCGTCATCAGCATGCGCGGGTCTATCTGCTCCACCGAGGCGATGATGTCGCAGGGCACGTCACCTCCACACGAGGGGGAGGAGGAGGAGGAGGAGGAGGAGGAGGAGGAGGAGGAGGAGGAGGAGGAGGAGGAGGAGGAGGAGGAGGAGGAGGAGGAGGAGGAGGAGGAGGGAGGAGGGGGAGGAGGAGGAGGAGAAGGAGGAGGAGGAGGAAGAAAGGGGTCGGGAAAGCGGAGAAAGAGGAGGGCTCGGGGGGAAGGGGTCGGAGAAAGCGGAGGGCGGCGGCGGCAGCGAGGAGTTCGGGGCCGCGGCTTTTTGCTCTCTCTCTCTCTTTCTGGCCCTCCCCTGTGCTTCCCTGCTCCTCGTACTTTTAATTACCATGCTCGTGCTTCTCGTCCTGGTTCGCAGACACCGGCCATCTGGGGAGGGACGGGCGGTGACGTGACACGTGCGTCTTCTCAACGACGGTGGCCCGGGCCACGAAGATCTCTGCAACCCCGGGCCGTGGCAGCGACCGCGCGGGCCCGGCGGGAGGCGCGGTGCCAGGCGGTGATGGTTTAGTCGATCATTGTGGATGCCACGACAATGGACACCCCAACAATCCTATCATTGAATGTTTGAAATGTGTTTAAACTGTAGGGAAAATGTTGTAAACATGTTTTAAGCATGTGTTAAACATGCTTCAAACATGTTTAAGACATGTTTTAGACATCTGGAAAGTATTTGGCAACACGCTTCCCCTTCATTGATCGTCCTCCACAAATCTATCAGTCAAGGCGGTGATCCTTGAGTTCGTTAGATCGTAACCACCGCCGGGGGGATCAATCCTCGGGGATATTCTTGCCCACCCCCTCCTGGGGCCCGAATCTGTCCAGATCCACCGCCTGCCGAGGTCCCCGGAGGTCGGTCCCCCCTGCGGAAGAAGCCCCCCGAGCTGCCGCCACGAGGCCCCCGCGAGGCCTCCCGAGAACTTCCAGGAGAAGCCTCTCCCAACAAGGCCTCGCGTCCACGACCCGGCCTGGCCGAGCGCCACTTGTCCACTGCACGCACTGTGGCGCGGCAGAATGCGTGTGGCGATCCGCCGCCCCACCAGGCTCGGCGCGCGAGATCCCCGCCGCGATGGTCTACGTGAACTCCTCCCCCTCCATCGTCCTACAGATTCACTCCTCGTGCCCACATCCTCCCAACGAGCCCCCGAAATCCCTCCCACGGTCTTCCCCGCGGCGTGCTCAGTCGGCCAGCCAGGGGTCCCCGGCTGCGGACTGGGCGTCCGCTAGCCGCCAGTTTGCTAACCTCAACCCACACACGCCTTCGCACAGGAGACCTTTGGACGCCTCCGGGCATCCTTTGTGGCCTCTCCTGAGGACCTCCTGGGCAGTCCCTTGCAACCTCTTGGAGCCCTCTTGGGCTCGTTTTGCCCGTCCTCGCAATCATCTCGAGCCTTCTCGGACCCCTCCGAAGTCCTTGTCGACTCATGTTGAGCCGAGAACCAGAAGATGCCCCAAAATGTCAAACATCATAAGAC